TCGGGCGCGCATCTCTGCCTACCGCTTGTAGTTGTGTCGGTCGCCTGCGCACGTGTGTCTTATGATAACGATATGAAGGGCCCTGGTGGCACAATACAACGCAGCTTCATTGGAGGTGCCACGGTTTCGCAAGTAGGCGTCCCTGCTTTCCATCGGTGCGAACGTGTGCCCATGATTGCTTGCTCACGGCAGAGCCTACTCGATGCCCGGGATGACCCACGGCAGAGCCCAGTCGAAAGTGCCAGTTACCAGCTTGCGCTTTGCCCCTTGCGCCACTTCATATAACGTCGTAGGCGCACACGCGCACGCGCACCTTCCAATGCTGTTTGCGCAGCAATGCGGTCCCAGGCTGCGTGTCCTGTAGCAACGTCGTCTGTCGCTTCGCGCTGCTGCGCAACATAATCCACGTCTGCTTGCTCTGTAGCAGCGCGCGCCGAGGCCGAGGCCGCGCGCTCAGTGGTAGCGCGGTTTGTATCTTCGCGCCGTTGCGCAGCAGAATTCATGTCTGCACGATCTGTAGCAATGCGCGCCAAACGTGCGGGGGGGGCGGCTCCGAGACATTATATGACATCTCTAACTGTTGAGCGTGCTTCGAGCCAGTGCGACTACGGAAAAATGATTCGCGCGCTGCGCGAATAAGCGTGCATCCGCACAGACAGACTGCGAAGGGGCCAACGTGCTCATCGACGCGGCGCGAGCTATGCGGCGCAAGCTATTTGGCGGAGGAGAGGGGGCGAAGGACAAGAAGGCGGACGAGGAGAAAGAGGGCGAGGAAGGAGGAAGAGGGCGATAGTGAGAACGAGGATGAACTATTGCATTCATCCAAACAATGCAAGCTATGCGGTGCAATTCGCTTGCTCAACTTGAAGCTGTCCTCTCCACTGCTCGTGCAAACATTCCGCCCTCCCGCCCGCAACTTGGTCGCACGACCTCTTAAGACCGTGACGGTGGGTACCACGTGGCACTTGGCAACGACGCCGATGACGACAGCGACAACGACGACACCGACGCCGCCGACAACGACTACGACGACACCGACGACGTCTCCAACGACTTCGACGACGACGACGACGCCGACGCTGACGACGACGACGATGACAACGCCGACGACGACGGCGACGCCGCCGACGACGACGACGACGTCGCCAACGAAGACGACGACGACGACGAGGGAGGAGGGAGGACGACGACGGCGACGACGACAACGACAAGGAAGGAGGGAAGACGACGACGACGACAACGAAGGCGACGAAATAGGAGGGACAACGACGAAACGCCGACGAAGACGACGAGGGAGGAAGGACGACCACGGCGACAACGACGACGGAAACGACGACGACGCCAAGACGACGACGACGACGAGGAAAGGCAGAGGACAACGACGGCGTCGACGACGACCACGACGACGAGGGAGGAGGGAGGACGGCGACGACGACGACGCAAGATCGCGCGCTCGCACGCTTTTGTTGTTTAAAACATGTTTTTTGGACACACGATTTTGAAATCCTTCCGAAACCAGAGGTTTCTGAAGGATTTCTGCATGCGCACGCGGCGACGCGCGCGTCTGCACTTCGTCCCGTTCTTTGCAGAGGATTCTCGCGACGGCACCCGCGCAAAGGGGGTTCGAAAGATTTCGACATGCGCGCGCGCGAAGCCCGTTTGGTAGTATGTTTTGAAAATGTTGAAAATCGATGGTTTCTTTTAGATTTTGCAAGACCGCGCGCGTAAGTTTGTTTAGACAATCAGTGTTGCGAAACTATGTGTTTGTTGTATGTTCTTTTGGAACGTCGATTTTGACATCCTTCCGAAACCGAAGGTTCTTGAAGGATTTCGGCACACGCGCGCGACGACGCGCGCGTGTGCATTTCGTCCCGTTCTGTTGCAAGGGATTTTTGGAAACTTCTGATTTTTGATAAACGAGATTGCGCGCATCGTATTTGTTGCAAAGGACGGCGGGGGGTACCATTACCTCCGGGGGGGTAGAGTCCATTCTTCGTTCGAAAGGAGAATCTACGCGATGCAACCCACGTGATGCAATCTATGCGCTGCAAGGTATGCGGCGCAGGCTACACGGCTCAATTGACTATCTTGCGCCGCGCTCGACCACCTCCATTGCTCGCGCAATCATCCCACCCGCCCACCCGCAACTTGGTTTGCGAAACCCATGCGGCTGCATGGGTTTCGCAAGCCAAGTTTGGGTGCAGCGGTCGTGTGCAGCGGCTGCTCGGTCGACGCCGCCGCTGCTCGGGAGTGCGGCGGCACAGGTTCCCTTTCGACTGAGGTTGGTGTCCTGTCGATCCGTTGGGGTCGCCTTTTGGCGGCCCTTGCCTGGTGATTCGGGCTGTCGCGGTGCAGGTGGCGCACGGCGCGGGCCTTTTGGAGCCATGGCTCGCGCGCGGAACTGAAGGGAAGTGACTCGAATCAGTCACGCGCTGGGATGGCGTTCGTCCAGTCTCGCGACGCTTTCAACGGAAGTGCTGGGCGTTTCGAGTCTGCGGCCTCGTTTGCACTTGGAGGTGATCGAGCCGAGACTGAAGAGAAAGGAGGAGAGGATAGGGGGAATATGAGGTGCAGCCTGCAAACGTGGCAGCAGGCAGGAGAAGGACGACTGGTAGGGAAAAGTAGCACAGAGGGGTGGGAAAGCGGAGGGGGGGGGCATTGGAAAAACAAGAAGAAGACGACGAAGAAGAAGATACATAAAAAGACGGAGGAGGAGAAGTCAGGCGGAGGAGGAGGAGGAGAACGAGGACACGGACGAGGGCGAGGACGTGGAGGAAAAGGAGGAGCAGGAGCGAGCATCGAGGCTCAAAGAATTTGGCGTTCTCGTCTGCATAGCTGGTCGACATTCTGGCCATGTTCGGTTAGTCCCTTTGAGGTTGGAGTGAAATGTGGAAGAGCGGAAGGGATGTGGCGGAGGAGGAGGAGGAGGAGGAGGAGGAGGAGTATCGCCGGGGCGTTTCCACTTCCTGGGGCTGAGCTTCAGTTTTGTTCTAGGGGGAGAACGACGAGAAGCAGCAGGAGGAGAAGCTGAGAAGCGACGAGGAGGAGCGGAAGAGGCACCGGAACAATGTTGACCGTTCACGGCCAAGGAGGAGGTGGAAGAGGAGGAGGTGGAAGGAGGAGGAGGAGGACGAGGAGGAGGAGAAGGAGGAATTGCAGACGCAGCAGAAACAGCAGCAGCTTGATGGAGGAGGGCTCGATGGATTTCGGCGGGGCGGAGGAGCGCTCGATGGATTTCGGCGGGGCGGAAATCGGCCTCATTTCCAAGGACAGCGCGGCGGCCGCCGCGCAAATCCAGGTAATATACGGCCGGATGTCCAACGCACGGGTGTGGTTTTCCAGATTCAGGCCCGCTTAGGATGAATGCGATTCGTCTCAGAGCGTCTGTCGTGTCTTCCTGGACTTGGGGGTGACCGCGAGAGGTCAATGTTGATGTGTAGGGAGCGGGGACTGCGCGTCGACGTGGTGTCGCAATCTGCAGTCTAGATGCCGTCGCGCGCGACCAGGAACAACTTGCAGTATTTCGTCCACTCACTGGGTCCGAGGCGGGAATTTGTACATGACCACCGCCTGGAGGATCAATTTTGGAGCCTCGACAGGCGGTGGACATGGATACATTCGGGCCCCTGGGGGCCCAAATGTATCCATGTCCACCGCCCGCTGGGGCACCAGGACGTCGGTTCCCAGGCGGTGGATATGGATCATCGGAACTCCATTTTTGGCCACCGCCCCCGCCCTGGGATTTTTCCTTGATTGGTTTTCGGCAAGTAGGCGTATAGGTCGGTAAGGTATAAATATATCGGTCGGTCGTAAAATTCTATGGTCTTACATTCGTCGTAGCAAAACGCCGAAGGCGCGTGTTACTTGTGACCACTCAGGGTTAGGATCGTCCTCTACTAGAACTTTGTAAGGTTACGTGTAAAAGGTCGCGTGCGTTCGACGAGGGCCTGCGTAAAGGGAGGGGGGGGGGCGTCACTTATTGAACTTGCACCGCGCGCCGTTATCTCCCCCCCACCCACCGCCACCACCACCGCGCACAACCAAACACCACGCGCAACGCAAACACCAGTACAAACCACCGCACACCACCACACACCACCGCACACACCACACACGCCACATCAACACACCACGCACGCACCACCACCACGCACCACACCACAACCAATCACCACACGCACGCCACGCAACCACACACAACCACCACGCGCCACCACGCACACGCAACCGCGACGCACAACCGCGCACGCCACCGACGCCACTACCACGCACCAACACGCACAAACACCAACCCCACACCACACACAACCACACCACAACGAAGCACACCACCACGCACGCCAAACCACCACACACCACCGCACACACACCACGCCACACATAAGCACCCCTCACTCCACGCACAACCACGCACAACCACACCCACAACACACACGTAAGCCGCACCCACACCACCACACGCAACCACAACCACCCACGCACAAACACCACATTACCATCACAACCACCACACGGAACCACGCGCCACAGACGCACATTACCACGCCACCTTCTCCCACCACCATCATCTCGCACCAGCAAGCACCCCGCCACCAAACGACCACCGCTAAGCGATGTAGTTCCATGCTTTGCCACGGCGGTTTGCAGTGCCTTGCCGTGCCTTCTGATCGGGGGAAGTAGGTTCTCACGCGCCTAGCTTTGGTGCAGCGGATCATTTTGCCGAGCGGTTTGTGTCAGTCTTCCCGGAGAGCTTTCGGGATCCCATGTCGCCCTTTGTTCCGCCCCCTGGGTCTCTGCAGCGCCTCCTCCCAACACTTTGACATGCTCTCTGGCTAACTGTGGGCCCACGTGTAGGACATGTGGATGGGAGGAGGAGGAAGGAGGAAGTAGGAGTAGGAGGGGGGGGAGGTGGGCACCGTCAGATCCCCATCGATGAGGCCCAGGCCCTTCATCTTGAAACGAGTCGTTGGTGAAACGGTCTATCCGTAGCCCGTTTGGGCCCAAGAGGTTGTGGGGATCTCTTGAGATCTGAGGCTGCTCGGTCTCAGCATCGTCGCAGTTCTTCTCGAACTCTCGCGCGATGCCTGCCGCGCTGTCGACGCCGAGCAAGAGCGGCCCTGCGGGCTCGCCTGGCTCCGCCGCGGCGGCTTCGCCTGGCCTGTCGGCAACGCGGAGCTTCCTGGCCATGCGCGTGCCATTTCCAGCGAAGACTGGCAACCAGATGATCGACGACGAGGCGATGGCGCGCAGGGAGTGCTTCATGACGATCATCGACGAGTGCTCGGCGAACAGTGGTCACATCTTGCCGTTGTTCAACGAGTTGAACAAACGCATGAGGGCCATGGCGAAGGAGGTGCGCTGCGAGGGGGCCAAGTTCGACGTCTTGGCGAAGACGTTCGCGCAGACCGACGAGGAGTTCATGATCAGGGTCGTGGTGGAGATCTCGGACCTCTCGCTGCAGGACGTGGTCAAGGCGAAGCAGATGGACGACGGCGCCGTGTTCCAGCTGATGCAGTTCGCGCTTCAGTACCCTAAGGGGTTGAAGTATCCCGAGGAGGCTCGGGTGGTGGAGGTGCTGAGTCGGGTCTTCAAGACTCGTATCGAGGTCGCTGGCCAGCGGCTCAAGAAGTTCAAGCAGAACGGTGGTGTTTCGAGTACTGGGATGTTGTGCTGGAAGGTTGGCTGCTTCGTCCTCAAGTCCATCGATGGGCTTCTCTCGGAGGTAGGCCACGCGAACGGCGACAAGGTGAAGATCCCGCAGGGTCTCCACCTCGACTAGTCGTACACGCTCCACTACAACTGGGACGATTTGGCTGCCTGCCTCCAGGAGCCGCCGATGCCGCCCGTGCTCCTCTGCGAGTTCTTCAAGGCATCGCGCACGGGCCCCTACAAGATCACGAAGGTGACGTCGTCGTCGAAGGACTTCGCGAAGGAAGTGCTGAACACCTTCAACGCGCACAAGAATGAGTTGGAGGCCGTCGTCCAAGGCCAGGGTTCCAGCAGCTCCAGCAGCAGCGCTGGCGAGGTCCGTGGGCAGTTGAAGACCCTCGTCTCGGAGAAGAAGAAGAAGGCCATGCAGAAGGCCAGGCAGAGCGCAGCCGAGAAGATGGCTGAGGTGAAGAAGCGCAGCACTATTTCTTTGGGCTGAAGTTTTCGTGATGCAGCCTGTGCTGTTCGCTTGCCGTTGGGGCAAGTACGGTGAGCTGAATGACAACAGATTTTGTTCGAGCTGTGGCCTCGACTTCAAGCGTGCTAGCAAGGGTTTGCAGCTTCGCAGTACAGTTTCTCTCTTGCTCGGAGTGTCGGCCTGGATTCAGGCCTCCCGAGCTCAGTTGCCGACGATTGCGAGAAATTCCGACCGTTCGGAGGCCAGTCAGCAGCATCAGTACACGTACGTTGTGTATGGCAGGGGTGCCTTGAAAACACGAAAGCCTTGAAAAACCTAAAGGCGCCCAAAGCAATGACTCAGCGGGGCGCCCCAGCAAGATATCAAGGCCCCAAGTCTCCTCGAAGGTCTTCAAGGTCCCCGAGGCCTCTCCAAACATGCAGCTGGTGCCTGTGGTTGTGGGCCAAGGAGCGCGCCATGAAACGTTGAGTTCTTGTGGCTAAGGATCTAGTCGTGCAGGGTTGTCTGAGAACTACTTCTTCTGAAATTGAACGCGAATTAGGGGGGGGGGTCTAACATGCGTCCAAACGACGGCATCGCGAGCGCAGAGTTTTGGAAGAGATACCTGTGTAGTTTTCGTTGGAGTGGCGGCGCCGACCCTCGTCTGACCATCCAGGAACGTGCGAAGAGAGGCCGAGTCCTCATATCATTAGAAACGTCTTGGTTCGATTTCAGACCCGCATCTTCTTTGCCATCCGTGCATCAGCTGTTTGGCTTTGCCGTTTCCTTGCTTCAGTGCCTCTCCAGGTGGGGGCGTCGCCCCGCTCTCAGCTCAGAGTTCGAGGCTGCTTGATGGCGGCCGCGCCGCCGCCGATTGGGCCCCCTGGCGCCGGGCCAGCTGCCCCACCTGCCGTCGCAGGCTTTCAGCGGAAAAACGAGGGGGGAAGGAAGGCCGAGGATCGGAGGAGGAGCGATGGGGAAGGGGGAGGGGGAGGAGATGGAAGATGAGGAGGAGCGATGAGGGGGTAGAAGGCGAGGCGACGGTGGGCAAGAGGAGAGAACGAGGATGAGGAGGAGGAGTCGCTGGTGGACGGGGGGCTTCGGAAGATGAGGAATCAGAGGAGGATAGGAGGACGGGTCAGATGAGGAGTCGGATGAGGATGAGGAGGGGTCAGGAGCTAGACGGCCAATTCGAAACGAACAACCGCCTCCTCACCCAGACCCCACCTTGAAATACATATGATGTGATGTTGGATCTGGGGGTTTTGCCTTTTTTCCATGCGTTTCATCCTGGCGATTTCGTTTTTGAGGGATGCTGGGTCCTGGGGTGTGTTTGAGAGGTTCACCCTGGGGTCTGGCATGAAACGATGCCACCCCCCCCGCCAGGGTTGCGAACCCCCCCATCCCCCCTCCCCTCCAACCAACCCCGTGCATCCCCCCGCCCAACCGTGTGTCAGGTGCCGTGGGCCCCTTCCCTTCTACCTACCACCTCTTCCACCTGACTCTTCATTTTATATATATAAATGTCGGGGCTGGCTGGGCAAAGGGGGGAGGTAGTAATGGCAACGCTACCGCCCGACCTTTACCGTGTCAGCCTCAACGTGGACATGCCGAAGGCCCGCCAGCTGCTGGGCCCACGGCGACGGCGGCCCCTGCGAAGGGGCGCATCTTCCTCGATCAGATCGGGGAGTGCCGCTACCAGTTGACGGACACGGTGTTGCAGCACCGCGCGCTCTTGAAGTTGGGCGAGTCTTCTGTTGCCGATTCGGAGGCCAACGACCAGGATGTGGTCCTCGCTGCAGTCTACCCTGGTGGTGAGGCTGCCGCCATAGACGCAGATGCGATGTTCAAGTTCTCGCTCTTCGAATCGGCGACGACGAAGGAGCTCTTTACGGTCGATGAGTCTCTGGGTGAGTCGAGTGTGCAATCGTTTTGGGATGTGCAGGCGAAGCACCGTGCAGGTTCTGTCGATGTCAAGGTTCTTGGTGGGTCATCGTTCGCCTTCGACTGCTTCGCGTTCGCTCTGCCTCGTCCTGGGAAGCAGCCTCTGTATTGGAGCATGCATTCGATTTACGACTTCTTGGGGATCGAGTGTTTCAAGGGGACTCTTTCTAAGTGGGTATTTCGGAGTTCTGAACGTTGGGAGAGGAGGTTCCCCATCGATGGTGGCGGCCAGACTGTGCACGGTTCATGCGTGTCTTCCTTCACGGCCAAGCGTGTTCAGCTCAGCTCCCCCGCGAAGTGTTTGCAGGTGACTTCGGTGAGTACATTCGGGATGCTCTTCCAGATGGCCAAGTGGTCTTGGAGCCCATCGCATTACGGTGGATTCGACTTGAAGCGAGACTCCGCGGGTAAGCAGGTGAAGGCAGCGCAGGCTTTCATCGTCAGTGTACTCGAGACTGTGAATCAGTACAAGAGGCCTTGGTCATTTGATCTAGTTCTTGACGTCTCGTGGACTTGTGGGTGGCCTCGTCCTCAGCCTTCGTATTTGGAGAATGCCATGATCGTCGAGGTTGACGATTCCTTGGGGGTTGATTTGAAGGCCTTCTGCGAGAGGGCTCAGGTCGCGTGGAGCGATACTTTCATCCACGAGAATTGGAACATGTGTCTTTCTGGAAGGTGCACTCGCGATACCTTTTACAAGCTGCCGATGATGGAGGTGCTCATGCTGACTGCAAGTAAGGCCACGCCCGTGGCAGAGTGCATTATCGCGCAGGTCTGCTTGTCGTTGTCTCACCAGCTCCAGATTGTCATGGCGTCCGACAACAACGACGGCCATCTCGTCAGGAGGGATGTGGAGTTCAGCTTCGACGACCCCGCCGAGGGCTTCGGCGTCGGGGAGGACGTCGACCAGTCCTTGGCCAAGTACGTCACCAACGCGGCCCACCAGCTCGGCAAGCCGCGCTGCGTCTCGGTCGCGACGGACAAGGCGTCGGTGGGCAACTTGCCGCTCCAGGTCAGCGTCCTCGCGCTTCCGTCCAACTTGGCGGTGCTGATGCCGCCTCAGGTGGTCTCTGGGACATCCGAGGGGGCCTCCAGGACTCCAGGGTACCCGGTACCGGTGTATAAATCTAGGCCTTTTTTGTGTCGGATTTATACACCACCCCCCTTCCTGGCCTTGGGGGTTTCTCCTGGATAGCCTCTAGTTAACCTCAACCCTAAAGGTGGATCGGCAGTTCGACGACGAGCTCCACGAGGACCTCAGCCTCAAGCGGAAGGCCGACGAGGCAATCGTCACGACGGCGAGCGTGATGGAGCGGCAGCTGGCCTGGCTCACTCGTGGCGCTCCTGGTGCTCGGCCTGGCGCGTGGCGGCCAGTGAAGCTCCACAGGGTCGCCAGCAGGCGTTGGCTTCAGAACTTAGACAACCAGCTGAACACTTGCTCTGACTTGGAGGGTCTGAAGGATTTCAGGATTGAGGATACGACCAGGGACTGGGTGAATTGGCGTTGCTTGTCGGTTTCCCTGGACCTCGGCAGCGACGGCGTCTGCGCCACGAACGCCTTGACCTACTTCGAGGAGCTGAAGATCAACATGTTGAGGTTCCCAGATCCTTCGCACGGGGCTAACCGCAGCATCGACCACGCGATCAATAAGACACAGCTGCGCGGCATGTGGATGCTCATGATGATCTCCTTTAACTTGCCTCATGGCCCAGACCAAGATGACCTTCGCCACCTGCAGCTTCGCGAGGCCATGACCTACTGCTTCAACAGGCTCTCGCCGAACACGTGCCCCTTGTTCATGGAGCTGGCCCCTTACATGATTCAGGACTTGAACCGCGTGGGCGATCATCTCCCAGGAGTGGATTCGCCAGAGGTCGAGCTCTGGGAGTACTTGAAGAAGCGCGTATGGGTCAGTTCTCCTGGGGAGCGTTGCAACACGAACAGGTTCATGTCGTCCGTTTCCGCTGCCAAGCTGAATGTTCCGTATTGGCACATCGATTTATTCGAAAGTCTATTTTTGTGTCTCGAGATGGATTTCGTGAGGGGCAAGAAGTTCTTGGAGCACATGGTCAACGTGAAGACTGGCAAGCAGGAGGAGCTTGGTGAGGGCGCCCCCACGGCAGCTAATGCCATCACCTTGGAGGCGAAGACGTTGAGGGGATGCGCTGCTAACGCCGTCGCGATCTCGGCCTTGATGCTGAGCGACCCCATGAACAGGAAGATTTGCCTCTCCATCGTTGCCCTGACAAAGCCTGTGCGTGACTGGCACATTCGCCAGAACAGGACTCTTCGGACTTCAGCTGCTTCGCCTGCTTGGCTCAGTGACCAGCTCTTGAGCGAGAACGTGAACCACATGAAAGACATCGCTGCGTGCTTTAACAACCGTTGGCTTCTTGAAGACCTTGGTTTCTCATGCCTTGACGGCGTTTGGTTGGCGAGCGAGGGCGAGATGTTGGATGACGACTATATCGCTGGCGTGGCTTGGGAGTTTGGTTGGAATCTAACTTCAGCTCGCCAGCGCAGGAACATGTACATGCACGGTTGGCCTTACAAGCTCATCTTGATGACGGGCGAGGGCGAGACTTCCAGGGCGGTGGTCCGTGAGTTCCAGACTGACAAGCGCATCTTCGATCTTCTTGAGGCCGCCGAGAGAGGCTCAGCAGCAGAGCAAGTCTTCGTCCGCAGCGAGTTCCGCAAGGTGGCGACGATTAAATTCGTTAGAGCGTTCGAGGACCTCGGCTGCGGCGTCCACGAGCAGATCGTCAAGCTGATCAAGGACCGCGTCTCGGGGCCCATTGGCACTCAGATCTGCGAAGACTGCATCGGCCAGGCCAAGAACTCGAAGATGGTCATCGGCAACAGGAAGTACAGGCGCCCCGAAGCCAGCATGGCCACGATGCTGAAAAACAAGGTGCTGGACGGCATCCATAAGTTCAAGGGCGCCACCATGAGCATGCCCTTGACATCGAAGAGCCTTCGTCTTCCTGACTCGGCCTTCCGCTCCTCCAAGACCAACGCGACCATGGAGTTCACGAAGATCGTCTCCACTCGGCAGGATGCTCCATATTACTCGCCTGGGCACATTGGTATTAACCAGCCCGTCGCCGACCTCTACATGTTGCGGCACATCTTCGCAGAGGCGCCCGAGGCCCCAGACTTCAACAAAATTAACTTCAGTTGGATCTCGAGCTTCGTCCAGGTCAGCCACAAGCTCGTGGTCAATCTTCCTGGTCAGGGGTGGTGCCTTGCATTGGACTACTTCAACAGCAGCTGCGCTTTCTTCTGGCCCATGGAGACTCGCGAGCTCGAGGGCGGCCTCCTCATGTTCCAGCCAGAGAACTCAACGCGTGGGCCGATCGTGAAGCCGTTGTTCGACCTCGACGTTCCGTCTTGCACCGTGGTGGTGAAGTCGTGGGCGCGCCAGTGCAATGACTACCCTGCCTTGTGCGTCGGGATGAACGCGCTGCCCCCCGCCATCCGCATGTTCCAGGAGGGCCCGACGGATGGCCTCTACAAGATCGCAGCTTCGAAGGCCTTCTGGAGCGTCCCCAAGACCGTCCTCCAGAGCGTTGCCAGGGCTAAGGGCGTGGACCTGCCGCCTGGGGCCAAGCTCGTCGATGTCATCTTCGCTCTCGTGTGCGATGCTTTGGGGGTCTCCGAGGTCGATGCCATCAAGATCGTTGCCAGGCGCCACACCGTCAACGACCTCCAGGCGTCTTTCTTCCCTGCGCTGCTTGAGGTAGAGGAGGCAATCCAGTGCTTGCACTACGACGACCACGAAGAGTTCAAGAGCCAGGAGAAGAAGGTTGTCACGATCACCGAGGAGATGAGCATCTTCAAGTCGGACTCCCACCAGAAGGCGAAGGCCGTTCGCGAGGCTGCCCCCAAGGCTAAGGCTAAGGCAAAAGGTAAGGCAAAAGCGAAGGCCGCTGGTGGACCACCTGTGCGGCGTGATTTCCCGACAGAGTTCACGCAGGCTGAGGCGAAGACTTTTTTACCACCTGGTGCGCACATCTGGCGTGCGGTGTCGCATGCCGCGTGGGCTGGCCATTACCCCCCCTACAGCCGCATCAGTGCTCCTTGGAGCATGGGGGAGACGGCCGCCATGAAAGATGTGATTCGTCGCTTGTGGATCCAGTATCTCACTGCCACTGCCCAGGATCCGTCTGTGTGCCCGTTTGATAATCTTCTCTAGGTGCATCTCTAGACCTGGTTTGCCTGGCGATTTTTTGACGCTTCGATCGCGTTGCCTTTGATTTCCGACGGCTTGGATGTCCTCAATATGCTTGGTCGCACGGACTTCTGTTGTGTCCAGCGTCTCGTTGGCACTTGTTCTTGGGGTAAGACAGAGCCTCAGTGTGACCCCAGGCTTCTTCAGCCACAGGTCGTTTATGAAATCTTGAGGGCAGCATTGAGGCCAGGGGTAACTCAGATACTTAACCAAGGTGTTAGGAATAGTTCCAACGTAACCGTCATACAGTTGAGCCAAGCGTTGAGGAGTGACAAGAGTAGTATTCATATTGTGAAAGGTTGAGCCAAACAGCGTAACACCATAAAGCGATCAACATAAAACGAGCCAAGTGCGAACAACATAAAACGATACCCCAGAGCTGGCCTTAGCGTCCATTTTCGTTTCAGGACCGATGTCAGTTTGCATCTAGTGCCGCAGTCAGTTCTCTTGCGTGTATCTTTGTCCTACTCCTTACTCCTTCCATTCCACACCTCCTCTTCCTCAATTCCGACACCCTCCATGTAGTTGGCCTCTTCCCCCCCCCCCCCCCCCCCCCCCCCCCCCCAGATCTCAACGTTCCCATTATTCTCTCAATTTCGTTCCCCCTCTCTCTCTCTTTCTTTCTCTGTACCTCTGCAGGCTGTTCTGATTTTCGCTGATCGCGGTGATTTCTCCTAGGCGCCAGGTCTTGCCTCCGATCCCAGTTGCTTGTGAGGTGGTCGCTCTCTTGCTTGCTTTTGGCACGCTCGAATGTCTCAGAGTGCATCGCGAAGGTGGTAGGGGCATATCACTTGCTAGGGTGCGATGCCTTATGAAAGAACTTGTCGTTGCAGTTTCGGCGAAGGGTCTCGCTTTTTGTCTTGATCGGGCGAGGGGGCGCTCGGTTTCAACAGCTAGCGCAGGCCATTCGCCACGGTTTTACTAACGATCGGTTCGTTTGAGGCCTCTCGGGCGCGATGCTCGCGGCGAGACGCACAGAATGACCACGGGGGACACGTACATAGCAGAGGGCACGCCACACCCATGTCACATCCACACAACAACATGTCATCGTAGAAAGGTCTTCCGTGCTGCACCGATGGGCGTTTGAACCCTTCTTGGTGCGCCGCGTGCCGTCGAGCTGAGCAGCTGACGTATATGAATACCTGAGAGAGCAGTTGCACCACCTACTGGAAAAGGTAAAACAACTGTGGCTTCCCAACGTTGCATCACTTGTTGTGATTTCTGCAACTATATACACGCCTTCGGCAAGCCCCCGCCACACTATTCATGAAGGCCTTCGGCCAAACCCGCCGCCGTGCCAGGGCCCTGGGAAAATGCCTCGCGGGTTGTTCAAGGGGTCTTTAGGTCGGTTTTGGGTCTTTCAAGGGGCTCTTGGGGATGCTGCTTGAGATTGCTTGGGGTCTTTAGGCTGGCTTAGGGTCTTTAGGTCTTTGGGCCTCTTGGGGGGTTCGTAAGGGTTACCCAAAGGCTTCTATTGGGATCGCAGGCGTCAAACCTTTAGGGCGCGAGCGGGCGTGGGGGGGGGCAACCTCGACCTCATGTCAATCCTCCTCCTTCTGTCTCCTTGGACGCTCCATCCTTTCACCTCGCCCTCCCCTCCTCTCACCGTTTCCCCCCAATTACTTACATCGCGCCAACGGCTTCGCTTCTTCCACCGCCCCGCCCCCCACCCAACCGATCCAGGACTTCCTAGAGAGGGCGGCTCCAAAACAAAACATCAGGAACCCCCTCGACATGTCATAGGGCCCCGACGCGCTACCGAACATGCGTTTTGTTCACAACCCTCATTTGCGACGCGAAAAACATCGCAAGCGCGAAACGCCGAGGTCGTGGTTGTGGTTGTGTAGGGCGCATTTGGTGCTATGCCAAAGTAGGCAGTGGTGACCGTGATGTTCGCGGTGGCATAGCTGCCAAAGTCTCGGCGCGACGTGCCCCGACGCGTAAGTTCAAGGGTTGCAATGACTGTTTCACTCTGCTACGGCCGCTGTGGTCGTGACTCGTTGCGACAGTGCAAAAAGCGGTGTTGGTCACGACGGTCGTGACCAGTACCGCTTTCATCGCTGTCACAACTTGTTGCGACTACAACTGACCTAGCAGACCTAGTGAACCACTTGCAGACCTTGACCTTAAGCGTCGGAACACGTTGCGCCGAGACCTTGGCAGCTATGCCACTGCGACCACCACGGCCACCATTGTTTATTTTAGTGCAGCGCCAAGCGTGTCTACACAACCACAACCACGACACTTCGGCGTTTCGTGATTGCCTTTATGTTGCGTCGGGAATGAGGGGCGTGGAAGCCATGGGTTTTGCCGCGTGTCGGAGCCATTCTGTGATTTTCAAAGGTGTCTTACTTTTTTTTTTTGGGGGAATGCCTTGAACGGGGGCGGTGTACAAATCTGGGTCTCCCAGATCAATCCCCGCCTCGCACTGGAGGAGGCAGGCGGCCATTTGGGGTCAGACCGCCGCCAGCCGGCGCGCGCACCCCCTGCGCCGCCCTGCGGCGTCTGGCCGCCAGCGGCGCGGTTGGCGGCACGCGGCGCGGCAGATGCGCCGCGGCGCGGCGCGCGGCGCGGCCGCCGCGCGAGCTCGGCCCGCGGCGCCTCGGTCGATGCTCTGGCCGCTGCTGCTGCTGTGCGCGGTGGCTGGCGCGGATGCTGCGCCGTCGTCGTCCGTGCACGACGAAGAGCCATAACCACAACCGAGTGGATTGTTCGGGAGGGCCCTTCGGGGAAGAACACGCCGACCTCTACAGGAGCACTCTGCTTGTGGTTGTGGTCGATTTGGGTCGTCCCAGGACGCCACATCGACCATAACCAGATTCAGCAGGCTTCGGTGTTCTGACGATTGGTGGCATGCGCAGGACATCTCCCAGGGTGTGTACTCGATGTGGTTGTGGTCGGGGGGTGCCAGATATGTTCCTGGACCGAGGTGGCCCCAGCTTTTCGCGGCGCCGTTTCAAAGTCCCTGGTGGCCCTTCTGGTGCCTCGTGACGGGTGCTCTGGGGGCCACCTGGGCCTCCCGAAATCATGTGGACACCTTTGGCCAGGGACCCGTTCTCGCAACGCCCGATCTTCGCCGCCGCCGCGTCTTCTGCAGTCGTCGCCTTCGCCATGGTCGCCGCCGTCGAGGTCGTTGTCGAAGACGATGAAGAGGGGACTGGGGAGAGGGGGGGAAGTCGCAGGCGCCAGTGCTGGAGGAGGAGGAGAAGGAGGAGGAGGAGGAGGAGGAGGAGGAGGAAGAGGAGGAGGATGCGCAGCAGCAGGACGAGGAGGAGAAGGAGGAGGAGGGGGAGGAGCAGGAGCAGGAGGAGAAGGAGGAGGAGGCGCGGAGGAACAGCAGGAGGAGGAGGAGGAAGAGGAGGAGGAGGAGGAGCGGCATGAGCAGGAGCCGAGAAACCCAGAGCCGCTGGACATATGCAGCGCCGAGAGCCCTATAGAGCTGGCATTCGAGCACGACCGAGTGACGCGCATGGGTCCAAAGGTCGCTCATGGCGGACCCCACTGCAGCTCCGGCCGTGCATGCTCCGTGTGGCACGTCACCCTCGCCTCGACCAAGGACCTGCACGTCACGGTGACGCCCTACAGCCAAGCAGTCGACCCCGACATCAAGATCTACGTCAAGGACGCCACCGCGGGTGGGGCCTCGGCCTGTAGGTTGGTGGCGTACGCGCAGGACTTCGGGGGCGACATGCTGGCTGTCAACAGCTCCGAGATCGGGGCCGCGAGCGACTTTTACCTGAGCGTCGAATGCCGCCAGGACAGGGTCCATGTCGATCCGATCACTCCCATCAGATATCGATTCCGACCAGCCCGTTCCGATATCCTGTCGATCCGATGCGGCCCGATGCTTGCCTTGCATGGCGCCGTCGTGCATCCTGGCCGATGCAGGCCGACCCGGCGCACAGTCCGATTCGACCCGACCCCCCGATTCGATCCTGACCGGTCCTGCCAGGAGCAGGACTGCAGCTACCACGTTGCCCTCGCGCCTGCGCCCGTCGGCTCCGAGGACACCGAGGAGCTCCGGCTCGGCGAGCGCAGGTCCGGCGTCGCGTTGTGGAGGACGATCAATGGAGAGGAAGCATGTTGCCACATATTTTCCAGACGTCTAAACCATGTCTTAAACATGTGTTAAGCATGTAAAAAACAGGTTTAACTCATGCTTAGAACGTGTTTCCTACATGTTAAGCATATCTACAATTCAATGATAGGACTGTTAGGGTGTCCAGTGTCGTGGCATCTACAAGTGTCCCGCGAGGGTGGCCCTCGCCGGAGTGTGCTCCCCTGGCGGCGCCCACAGAGGGGGTGTGGGGGGGCTCCGCGAGCGGGGGGCCTGGCCGAGAGGGCGGAGGGGCCTCCGATGAGGCAGAGGGCCTCGCAGGGCCCTGGAGCCGTCTGGTGGTGGGCCTGTCTTCCACCACCACCAACATAAGTTGGAGGGGGAGGGGGGGTCCTCCTCCTCCCCCTCCTCCGCCTCCTCCGCCTCCACCTCCTTCCCCCCCTCCAACCTGTGGTGGTGATTGTGGAGAACAGGCCCATCAGTCTGAGAAGGCGTGTCGGAAGCTGGGCGGGGCGTCCAAGAAGCCCCCCCTGCCGCCGCCGCGCCGCCGCAGAAGCCTCGCCGCCTTCTCAGGAGCCCACCCCCTCTCGCGCCACCCCCTGGCTGGCGCCGCCAATGTCTTGGGCGGGCCCACAGGGGTCTCCCCCCCCAGCTTCGGAGGTCGATAGGACCCCCACACTCTGCCAAGGCGACTAGCGACTTGCCCGTTTTCGGTTCTCGACGAGGGGGTGTCGGGGTCGTAGTCTTTGCGGGTCTGCGCCAGCGGGCTTCGGTCACTTCGGCGTTTTCCTTGAAGGTTTGCTTGCTAACGGGGATTCTGTCCAACCCCCGACAGCTCTTCGCTGGCGCTTGGACTTGACCCCCCCCCCGCGGCCCCCCAAAGCCGTGAACTACAGGTCACTCTTGCCCAGGGCCGCTCTTGCGTGTATTGTACGTACCCGAAGGTCCGGCGTCGCCATACCAGGGGTCCCGCTGCACTACAACTTGACTTGCGACAAGGCCTGCGCTGATGCGGCAGCCGACGGCTCCAAGGGCCTCCTCAGCATCAGCGCGTGGCCGCGGGACGCGACGTCGAAGCACCACCTCAGGCAGGGGTCATTTCGATTCGATCGATCCGATTGGATGCCAAGTTCAACCCCGCTCGATCCGATTTGATGCCGATTTCCCGGCGACCCGATGAGGACCGATGCTTGCATGGCGTTGTTGTGTACCTGGGCGCATCCGATTCGATTTCGATTCCGTGCAGATTCAGCGATCCGACGTACATTCCGATTCGATCTGCATTCTCTGTTCGATGTTGATTGATCTTGCCTCAGGCTCTTGGTCGCGAAGGACAAGCGACCCACGACCAGGTCGGAGAGCAAGGGGCACATGCCCACGACCAAGAGCTGGTTTAGCGGCGAGGCGGTCAGCATCAAGCCAGAAGAGGGCACCTACTACATCACGGTGGTCAAGAGGCAGGGCTCCAACCCGCTGCCCTTCGTGCTCGCCGCCCGCCTTCCGAACACGGTGCAGCCGATGACTCTGGGCAAGCCGACGTTTGGTTCCGTCGCGAGGGCCCAGGTATCCTACTTCAGCTTCCAAGTCACGAGGGCGAACACCGACATCGGGGTGTACCTCACTACCTTCGATGGGGACCCCGACTTTGCGATTTCCCACGTGGATGTCGACCCGCTCCCTTCCAACAGGAAGAGTCAGTGGAAGTCGCGCAAGGTGGGCGACGACGAGCTGATCATCCCGCCAGACGACCCCCAGAGGAAGGACCACCAGACGGGCGAGTTCCGCATAGGCGTGAGCGCCTACAGGGACAGCGCGTTCTCCCTGATCGTCCTCGCCGAGCAACACAGCGACCTGACCGAGGGAGAGACCAGCACGATCGACTGGATGGAGCTGTGGCTCGGCATGCCGCAGCTTGCCACCGCCCTCCCGGGCAGGCCTGCCAGGTTTCGGGCGGGGCTGGGACCAGGATAAATCGTTCCAGAGCGCTTTGGAACGCTTTCAGACCGTTCTGGAACGCTCTGGAACGGCCGCGGCTCCCGATGCATCCTCCAGAACCGCCGGATCTCACTCGGATCTCAGAGACCCCCTGGTCCTGGCTTCGTCCTACAGGTTCCTGTACTACCACAAGATACACACCCCGAGCTTGACTGTCGGCGTCGAGCTGCAAAGCGGGGACGCCCCCGACACCTGCATCATGAGCTGCGGGACCTCTCGAGGAGCAAGAAACAGCACGAGCACTCACTTTTCTGGAGATCCGCGCGGATTTCTAGAATCTGCGCTAGGCCCGCCTGGCGGCGCCGCTGGCGCCGCCCCTCGGCATCGTCTAACCTGTCCCCATCCCCACTGGGTCATGGTATCTCAGTCCCACCAGCCCTGGCGGGGACAGGGATCGCTTAAATGATGCTCATCCCCAGCCGCGCTCCGCGTGCCAGGCAGGGGGGTCCAGCGCAGATTCAAGAAGTCTTTGCGGACCTCTGGGCGTGTAAATTTGTGTTGTCTTCTTCCTCCGAGGACCGACCTCCACTGCCCTTTCATGTCCCCGCTGGACACGCCGTCGGCGATCGCCAACATGCCCCAGTGGGCCATGTCGACGTGCGCGGAGGGCAGGATGAACGGCTCCCAGGGTCAGGTCAGTTTGACGTTGCGAGAGCCGTGCAACCACTGCTGGTACGCCATTCTCTCCACGCACGCGGCGAACACCTCGGACAGCAACCGGAGCAAGTTTCGCATGTTGCTGGGGGCGGAGGGGCGGGCACAGCCTCTCCTGGTCGGGGAGCCCTTCCGGGGGCACGTGGACACCGACGGAGAAGCCGTCCTGCTGCTGCACGAGGTGCTGGACGAGGTGGCCGCCGAGCAGGCGGAGGCGGGCGGCACCCTCAAGGCGGTGCTGACGCCGGTGTACGGGGACCCCATGTTCACGGCCCGCAGGGGGCAACGACAGGGGCAATTGGCCGGGGTGGGCTCAGGGGGGGATGCATCGACCCTCCATGGCCCTCCGGATCGCCGATGGGGGCCCGATAGCCCGGCCCGCCCAGGAGCCTGCGGATCCGCTATCGCGGGCCTATCGCCGATCCATCGCCAGTGCATCCTCGATTCCAAGTCGATGTTCCTCCCCTGAGCCAGTCCCCGAAACAATTTTTTTTCCCAACCATCCTGTGGTGTTGGGTCCTCGTTTTGAAGAGACGGTCCCCGCGTTCCTCCTCTCCTCCTCCTCCTTCTCCCCCTCCTCCTACCTCCTCCCTCTTCCATGCGTTTCTTCCATGCGTTTCACCCGCCCAGCCACAGCAGTTTCGTGGCCCCATCGAAGCTCCACCGAGGTCCCACTGGCACCGCCCGCATGCGTCCCACCACCCAGCACAGCCCCCTCCCCCCACCCACACAGCGCTTCGTGGCCCCATGGGAGCTCCACCGAGGCCCCAGTGGCACCGCCCGCATGCGTCCGCCACCACCCAGCACAGCCCTTGCTCCCTGCGTTTCACCCACCCAGTACAGCGCTTCGTGGCCCCATAGGGAGCTCCACCGAAGGCCCCAGTGGCACCGCCCGGATGCGTCCGCCACCACCCAGTACAGCCCTTGCTCCCTGCGTTTCGCCCACCCAGTACAGCTCTTCGTGGCCCCATAAAGGGGGCTACACCGAACGTCCCAGTGGCACCGCCCGCATGCGTCCGCCACCACCCAGCACAGCCCTTGCTCCCTGCGTTTCACCCACCCAGTACAGCTCTTCGTGGCCCATAGGTGGCTCCACCGAAGGTCCCAGTGGCACCGCCCTCATGCGTCCGCCACCACCCAGCACAGCCCTTGCTCCCTGCGTTTCACCCACCCAGTACAGCGCTTCGTGGCCCCATATGGAGCTCCACCGAGGGTCCCAGTGGCACCGCCCGCATGCGTCCGCCACCACCCAACACGGCCCTTGCTCCCTGCGTTTCACCCACCCAGTACAGCATGTCGTGGCCCCATAGGGAGCGCCACCGAAAAAGATATCCACAATTGCGGTACTCACAACTGCATATGGTTGGGTCTTTCGCCAGGCTAATTCCCGGTAGGCTGGAACATTTCCTGGTGAACTGGGTTCTTCCCTACTGACAGAGATTGTGAAAGATTTGGAGAGGTTCTGAGAACTTCTGAAAACCTTTGAGAGCTTCTGAGAGCCTCTGAGAGCTTCCCAGAACCTCTGAGAGCTTCTGGGAGCTGCTGAGAGCTGTTGGGAGCTTCTGAGAGCTCCTGAGAGTTTCTGAGAGTTTCCCTGGGAGCTTCTGAGAGCTTCCGGGAGCTGCTGAGAGCTTCTGTGGGCGTCTGAGAGCTTCTGAGAGCTTCTGAGAGATTCTGAGCAATTCTGAGAGATACTGAGAGTTTCTGAGGGCTTCTGAGATATCCCTAGACATTCTGAGAGATGTTGAAAGATCCTTAAAGATTCTGAAAGATTCTGAGAGATTCTGAGAGATTCTGAGAGATTGGAGTTTCGGAGAGAGAGAGAGAGAGAGAGAGAGAAAAAAAAGAGAGAGAGAGAGAGAGAGAGAGCGTGAGAGATCCGGAGAGATCCTGAGCGATTCTGAGAGATTCGGAGAGATTCTGAGAGATCCGGAAACATTCGGAGAGATTCAGAGATTTTGAGGGCCTCTGAAAGATCCGGAGAGATTCGGAGAGATTCGGAGAGATTCTGATGGATTCTGAAAGATTATGATGGATTCTGAAAGGTTATGAGAACCTTTGAGAGCCTGTGAGAACTTCTGAGAGCTTAAGAGAGTCTCCCAGAACCTCTGTGGGCTTTTGGGAGCTTCCGAGAGCTTCGGGCAGCTTTTGGGAATGTTTGAACGCTTTTGAAAACTTCTGAGAGCCTCTGAAAACTTGTGAGAACCTTTTGAGAAGCTCTGGGAGCCTTTGAGAACTTCTAAAAGGTTGCGAAAACCTTTGACAGCTTCTGAAAACCTTGAAGAACCTCTGAGAGCCACTGAGAAACTTTGAGTGCCTTTGAAAACCTCTGAGAGCTTTTGAGAACTTATGGAAGCTTTTGAAACCATTTGAGAAACTGTGGGAGCCTCTTACAGCCTCCGAGATATTCTGAAAAAGGCTTCGAGAACCCGTGAGAGCCTCTGAGAACTTTTGAGAGCTACTACTGCTACTACTACTTCCACGACGACTCCTCCTACGACGCGTACTTCTCGTGCTACGCCTACTAACTGTGCTCCTCCTCCTCCTCCTCCTCCTCCTCCTACTACTACTACTATTACTACTACTACTACTACTACTACTACTACTACTACTACTACTACTACTACTACTACTACTACTACTACTATTACTACTACTACTACTACTACTACTACTACTACTACTACTACTACTATTATTGCTACGGCGACGACTACTACTACTACTACTACTACTTACTACTACTACTACTACACTACTACTACTACCACCATTATTATTTCTACTACTACTACTACTACTACGACTACGACTACTACGACTACGACTACGACTACTACTACTACTACTACTACTACTACTGCTGCTACTACTACTACTACTACTACTACTACTACTACTACTACTACTACTACTACTACTACTACTACTACTACTACTACTACTACTACTACTACTACTACTACTACTACTACTACTACTACTACCGGGAAAGAAACCAGTCCGCCGGGAAAGAGAGGCGATGCGGTCCTCTCGTTGTCCCTCAGGTCCGCAGTGGCACCGAGGACGGCCCGCTGCTTTTCCAGTCGAATGTCAGTGGCAACGAGTGGCGGCTGCCCTTCGGTGCGGACTCCTCCGCGAAGGCGGCCAGGGGGGCTAATCTGGCGGGCGTGTACTACTTCCTGGTGAGGGCCACATCGAAGCACGCACAGTTCCGGATGCAGGTGTCATGGGACGCGCCTCGCGGGACCAACACCTCCGGTGGGACCACGGCCCGCGGGCAGTATTTTCCGGCGCCTCCGGCCCCAGACACCCTCGGCTTGCCGACGCTTCTGGACGGCCAGGCCGAGCCAGGTGTACTGCTGAGCGGCCACCCGGACTTCTACGTGTTCAGGCCCCTCGCCGGCAAGGGCGGCGTCAGCCGGCCGAACATCACCGTCTCCGTCGTGTCGAAGGGCGGGCCCGCTTGCAGCGTGCACGCGGCAGCGCTGCCTGGGGGCGAGGAGGGTGCCCGGCTGGCTCCCGAGCGCTTGCGGGAGATCTTCCACGACCCCACCAAGGCCACTTGGAGCTCCGTGCAGGGGAGGCCCTCCCTCAGCATCCTCAGCTCGCACCCTGCCTACGTGCCGCCCGGCGGCGGCGCCTCCTACATCATTTCGGCTGCGCGCAGGATCGACCCCTCGCCAGAGTGGCCTCTGGCGTGGGCCCACTGGGGTGACCCGATCGCTAAACGCGATGCGGTAGCAGCGGCCCCTCTGAAGCCGCGCGCCACAGGTCACTCCTCAGAACTTCGGCGCCGTGATTTTTCACGCAACGTAGACCCCCGGAAGTCTGATCCCTGGACTGTTTTTTCATGCTGGGCCGTTTTTGTTGACGGTCTCGAGGCCCAGTGAAGGACCTTGGAGGCCGAAAACGGCCAAAATTTGCCCGCTGTTTTTTCACGGTGGGAGGAGGTTTGGGGTGCCCGGGGTCACTCTTGCGTGTAGCCGATCATCGCCGTGGCGCTCGACGAGGTCCCCAGGGAGCCCGTGTACTCCACCTGGCAGTGCTCCTCGATCGCGAATCTCACGCCGGTGCGCTGTGCTGCTGGCTCGCCCGGCTTCGCGGAGTGCGTGTCAAACGACGGCCAGGCGTGTTATCAGGCGCAGGGCCAGCGGGAGTGCAAGGAGAAGGCGTGGAGCCGGGAGTCTAAGCTGTGACCCAGGGGCAGTTTTAGGAGGGGATAGGCGCTAGGCTTTCCGTCGTATCTCGGCGGTAATTGTTTTCGCAAGCAGCTGCGCCTCTCCGAGAGGTTTCTGGGGGTGCCAGGAACGTTCCGAACGGCCCGCGTTATGGCCCGAAAGCCAGCGGGGACGGGGATAGGCTCAGGGGAGGCATCGACTGCCAATCGCCCATTGATCGCTGATAGGGGCCCGATAGCTCACCCTCCCAGCCCGCCCAGGAGCCTGCGGATTCGCTACATCGCGGGCCTATCGCCGATCCATCGCCGGTGTATCCCCGATTCCAGGTGGACGTTTCCCCCCCCCTCAGCAGACCCAATGTTCCCCCTTCAGTGGTGCCACACCTCTTCGAGGACTAGGGGGGAGGTGCGCGTGCATTGTAGCGTAGCATATTGGTGGAGAAGTGCCCGCGGACCATGACGCAGCGGCGGCCTGGGACATTGGATTCCAGGCCTGCTCGTTGGCGTCGTCCTTTCCAAGATCTCTTCCAACGGCAAACATTTGTTGCTGCATCTGCCCCCCGATGATTTTTCTCGATCGTCATCTTGCGCTAGGTATGTTCTTGGAGAATGTATGACTCTGGGAATCCTGGGCATGGTAATGACGTTGGCGGTATCTGAGTTTGAGTCTCACCAGAGACGACTCACGGCGCGAAAACTCCGCGCAGGGGCCGCCCAGAAATTCTGTCTGTTTACACCGTCCTGGGGATCGTGTGCTTGGCGTTTTGAGGGCACGCTCTGACTCCGCCAGGTCTGGGGACCCGTCGGGGGGCCCACCCCTCGTGTGGCCCGCGTGCGAGTCCCCGGACGCCGCCAACGCGGATCAGCTATGCCCGCGCGCATACGAGAGGTCGGGCCCACGCTTGGGGAGTATCATGGCATCGGGGGTCCTGGGCAGCTCGAGGTTCATTCTGCACACCCTGCCTGGCAGGACGGGGGTGGGCGCTGCGCACGGTGCACATCCCTGCCCCTCCGAAGGCGGCCGACGCACTGTTCACGGAGGGTGCGAGCGGGAGCCGGATCAAGCCCATCGTCATCAGTTGCGAGGGGTTCGCGCCGTGCAAGAGGCTGGACGGGTGCAGGGCGCGCGAGGCCGGGACTGCGTCCCCAAGGGGGCCGGGGTTGGCGCCGTACCAGGTCACCGCGCGGGCGTCGGGGGCGTTGGCCGAGCTGACGATCACCGGCGAGCCCGTGCTCGGGGAGGTGGGCTACGGCAAGTACAGGAGATATCGCATGGTGCTCACCGAGCCGCTCGTGCAGGGCCGCGTCGTCGCCGTGTCGATCAATATCCTTTCTGGCGATGCAGACCTGTACGTCGGGCCCACCGTGGAGGTGACGCGGGAGGACAGCCCGTACAAGTCGGACGTTGTGGGCAGCGACGCTATATTCATCAGCGGGGCCGACGCCATCCACAAGCAGCATTGCGAGAAGGTGCTGCAACACGGCGGCGAGTGCTATTATTATGTCGCAGTGTTGGGGACGATGGCACAGGATGCCGAGTTCGAGATCTCTGCCTACATTCCTGGCGGGGTGCCGAGGCAGCTGTTCCCCTCGAGCGGGCTGGTGATGGCGATTCCACCCTCTGGCGGCTGGCAGTACGCCTTCCAGAACTTGAGCCAGTGGATGGATAGGGCCAGCGGAGATGGCATCATGATTCAGGCAATGCCCAATGTCGGCGTCGTCTCCGCGATGGCGGCGAGGGTGGCCCCGCTGGACCAGGTCGCGCACCCTGTGGCGGCGGGCTGGCCACAGCCGTTTGTGAGCATGGGAGCGATGGGCGGCACGAGCGTCGCGAATGTGTGGCGGATCCGCTTAGAGGCGAAGGACATCCATGACAAGTGCAGGGTCAGGGCCGCGCAGAAAGAATGTGGCCTCTTGGTGGGCGTCAATGCCACATCGATGGTCATCGGCAGGATCGCGGTGCAGGCATTGACATCGAAGGCGGAGTCCGCAGCGGCAGCGGCGGTGCCTCTCTCGACGGGCGAACCCGGGCACGGGTCAATTCGCGGGAACGAGGCCGCTTGCTTCAGTGTCGATGTCAGGGACACGTTCGACGCGCTGTCAATATCGGTGACGACGCAGTCAAACTGTGACCCGTTCCTGTGGGTGGACTTCCCGGCGGACGCGAGCGGCGTACGGCCAGAGAGGCTCGCCGTGCCAGCAGACCCGGCGCTGCACTTCGTGCACACCAGGATCAACCGCTCGGACCCGAGGTACAATGCTGGAGTGTACTACCTGTGGATCAAGCAGACAGGGGGCGGCGTGTGCGAGTTCGATATCCGCGCTGAACCCAAGCTCCACGCGGAGACAGAGCTTCCAGCCAGTGGCCTACCCGAGGCTGGCCCAGTGACTTTCAGCCTTCTTCGGCTTGACGCTCCAGATTTTACCACGGGCGAAGGCCAGGACCAGTACTTCCTCCACAACGTCCGGGACTCTGGCCGGGAAAATTTGGAGGTCCGTGTGACCGCCATAACCGGTGACCTGGAGGTGCACTACGCCGTTCTCTTGGATCAGGAGGGGAGCGCGTTGCAATCCAGCAAGGATGCCAGGCTGATGGCGGCACTGGACAACCTCCAGTCGCTGCCAGTTGTCACACGGAGAGGCGCGGAGATGTTCTCCAAGTGGGGCTTGGATACGTGGTGCAACAAGGCGTCGAAGTGCCAGGTCATCCTCAGGGTGCGCGGCACCAGGAGCCAATCAGTGACGAAACGTCTTGGTCTACCCACAGGTCCACCAAGAGATGTTCTAACAGCTCTGTTTTGTACAACATGTTGCGATGATATTTCTGGTCGACATCGCTTTGTTCTGAGGACTCGGCTCTAACTTTGCTCTCAGCACAACTTTTGTTCCTTCTTAGAGCACCCTTTGTTCTGAAAGTCTGTCGTGGCGGGCCTGTCGGCAGACCTTGACGGTCGGCCCCTGCTCGCAGGAGGGGACGCCCGGCGGACTTCCTGGCCGCCGTGCTGGACCACACCGCCAGCCTCAGGCACTCCGTGGCCATGACCCTCGGCGTGCCCCTCGAGGACACCCTCGACAACGCCACGAGGGCCTGGCAGTACCAGCTCATGCTGGACAACCCCTCCGACGAGGTCGAGATCCGCCTCTCGTGCAAGGGGGCAGGCAGAGCCAGCGCCTGCCAGTGGCGCTCTGGGCGGGTGCTGCTGACCGCCGACGCCCGGCCGCTGATGCCAGCGAGTGCCCAGGATCGCTCGTATTCCTCGTCGCACGACGCCAGGGCGCAGGGCCACGAGCAGAAGGACGGCGTGCTGTGCATCTGGCTGAGGGCCGAGGGGGGCGCGAGCCCCGGCGCGTGCAGATACCCGTGCGTCCTGAACGTGCGGGTGGAGTTCAACAGGGACGAGGGGGCATGGGCCGAGCCCCTGGAGTTCGAGCTCATGGCCGTGGCCGAGGGCTCCTACGCGATGCTGGTGGACGGTTGTCGGGAGGCGCCAACCGTCGACACGCTCCCCAAGCCTGGCCAGGCCCCTGGAGGTCCCCGGGGGCCTCCCCGGGAGCTCATGAAGGCCTCCAGGGTCCAGAGGCCCCCCGGAGGCCCGAGCAAGAGGCAGAGGCGTCTGCAAGTCTCGGCCCCGACCCTCCGAAGGGCCCTCTCACGGCCCACGAGGCGTCGGCCGGGCCAGTGGAAGGCACGTCGACTTGTGGTCCTGGTCCTGGGCCCAGGGTGCCGGTGCTGACGTGTTGGCAGTTGCCCCTCCCCCCCCCGCCTCGAAGGTGACGACCCGGTCTCGGGGCTGCTGTCGCCCAGCGTCCCAGAGCGGTTCCTCTTCCTCGTCCTATTCCTCTTCCTCGTCCTATTCCTCTTCCTCGTCCTTCTCCTACTCCTCTTCCTCGTCCTATTCCTCCTTTCTCCTATTCCTTCCCCTCCCTTATTTCTTCCATTCCTCTCCCTCGTCCTATTCCTCCTCCCCTTCCTTCCTCAAAAGATAATGAGTCTCCCGTGGGGCACAGTCCAGGCAACATGCAATTGATGTATTGAAAGCCGCGGCCCCTTCTGAACTCGAAATGTGGAGGCGTTTGACCGGCAGTTACACCTAAACCGTGTTTTGGGCGAGACACGTCTGAGACAGTATTCACATCTCCAGTTGTCCCCAGCCCACAGAGGTACTCGTGTGTGTGTGTGTGCGTGTGGATCTTCAAGACCTCGCGAACCTCTTGGGCCAACATTCCCCATGTTGAGCTCCCCGAATATCTCGCTTTAGTTGGGCCACTCAGCCAGGATCAAAGGTATAGACTTACACAGTTTGTACTAGTCTGTCACATTGTGCTGTACACCCTCACACACATGAGGGAACGCATGCAGCAACGCCCCCTGACCTGCGAGCCAGTCGGCACCTTATTGTCTCTGATGTCCTCTAGGTCAGTTGGGCTTTCAGCCTGAGACTCTTCTCTGTGGGCCTTGGCTTTCTTTAAAGCGAGCCAGCCTTCTGGGACATCGGCAGCAGCCTTACGAGATAAGTGGCAGCAGCAGGTAAAGAGAGAGAGAGAGAGAAAGAGAGGCAGAGACAGAGAGGTAGGCAGAGAGAGAGAGAGAGCAGCTTGCGGGTCAACAGCAGCCCTCGTCAACGCTTAAAATCAATCGTGAGACGGCTCGAGATATTTCCATCTGTGTGAATAGCTCATACCACCTGCGCCTCATGCTCTGCGACGCAAGAGATCTGACCAACAAGTTTCGGAACAGGACCATGCACATCCCGAAGCATGTTGTCATGAGGGTCCAACTAGCAACCCCCAAAGCCCGCTGGGGCCATGCCCCCTCAACTACGGCGCAAACACAAGACGTCGGGAACAAGTTCCGCTTGCTGAGAGAATTCGAATCGATCGCATCCTCGTGCAGAGTTCCGATGCCTCTGCTGGGTCTGGCACACCAAATTTGGGCAGCCACGTTCTCGTGAAAAGGGAGCTATTCGGGTCAGCTGCCACAGCATCCTGCAGCACTTCTGGGGTGCAAATCTCTTTCTTTGTTCGCGCCCTTGAAGTAACCGCCAGCACCTGTGGAATGTGGTGTCTGGCTTCTCACAAAACTTGCACAGAGTACAGTCGATGCTGATTAGTAGGTCGACCCTGCCAAATCGAGGGTACCCTGGTGTCCTGTGCTTCGCGACCCATGCTCTCTACATTCATGTCGTAATGTGGCCCCTGGAAGAGTCTTGTGTCCTCTCGCGTGTCCTCTCCAATCAACCCCGACTGTAGCCCCAGTGGGAAGCCGATCCTCCCATGTCTGGCTTCGGGCAGGTGGCAGCACGATCGGCAGCTGGCGTGACAACCTCAGGGGTCTGGCTGCCAGCTCCCACCAAAGCCCTCTCTGATGACGGGCTGGAGCCGCAGTGCCTCCATGGCATGGCAGAGCACGATGAGCCACTATTTGGACACGAGCGTCCTCAAGCTGCGGAACAAACCTTCTCGCCACACAAGCGGGCGAAACGGTGTCACATTCAACCTCCATACCAAGTCGGTCCACGACGGCGGGCGGGCTCTCGAACACCGATCCCCGTTCACGGGCCGACCGCAGCATGCCATGGACCGGCCCGATGCTCCACTTGAGCCTCTGGTGACTGTCGGGACGGGAAGCAGGGGACGCCTCCTGAGCGGCACGAGCAAGCTTCGAGAGCAACGTCTGGGGGAACGACTGCATACTGGACACGCTGAGGCTTTTGTCGCGGCGTGGTGGCCATCCATCTCCAGAGTGTCATACCAGCTGCGTTCAGTGGGCCTCCAGCTCAGACTCAGCACCACGGATCGACACCCCACTGACAGCGGCATCGTCCTCTTCTTCGTCCTCCTCGCCCCCTCCCCATCCTCGCCCGCTCCTCGCCCTCGCCCCCTCACACCTCACCTCGCCCTCCCCCTTGTCGGGAAGGTTCCTCTTCGACTCGCGGCGGGCGAGCCCTCACGTGACCGTGTTGGCCACCTTCCCTTTCGAGCCCGTGGACCCGCAGCTGGAACTCGTCCGGGGGGCAAGAGGGGTGCACCCGCTCGGGAGCTTTGGGACGGGGGTCAATACAAACGGGGGTCAGCCAGAGCACCGGACCTTGCAGGACCCTGCAGGGCCAGGGTCGCACTGACCCGGGTTTGGGCGCAGGAGCCTGCAGGATCTTGCAGGATCCTTCGCGTTGACCCGGGCTTGGGCGCAGGATCTTGCAGGATCTTGCAGGATTCTGCAGGGCCTGGCCGACCCGGGTCTGGAGTGACCCGGGTCAGAAGAGCCTCGGCCCGCTCCCGCCCCCGCCCCCAAGCCGCCTCGTGGGCTTCCGGCTGTCGCTGGGCGGGCGTCCTGCTGCAGCCTGGCGCGGGGGCCACAAGCCACCCCTGCTCGAGAGGGACGCCCCGTCTGTGTCTCGGTGCTTGGACGCTGCACCCTGGAGCGGGCTTCGCATGGAACATGCGATGGGTGCGCGCACGCGCATATCGAAGACGTTCTGGAAACGCCCATGCGGCCAAACGTTGGGCCAAAGTCTGGGCAAGCAAATTGGACTATGTGTCCCCCCAGCTGTTGCGGAACCTCTTGGGGGAACACCGAGACGAGAGGGAGGAGAAGGATGAGGAGAAGGAGGAGGAGGAGGAGGAAAGCGAGGCCGTCTTGTGGCTGGCAAGAAGAGCTGCAGTATAAGCTGAAGTGGGACTGCGTTAATATCTGTAGGTGCGCACGATATTGTAGTAGGACTTGTAGTAGCAGATATGATAGAAATAGTCGTGGTATCGCCAGCCGTCGGATTTGTAGCATTAATACATCATCATGACTTGTCGCATGAACTATCGTAGGAGCGGCGTTGGGACTTGTCAGAGGAGCTGTAGTAGGAGTTGTGGTGGGGTTGTAGGAGAAACTGCGTTATAAACAGACACACTTGGACTTGCACAAGGAATTGCATTGGGGTTTACATCCGAACCTGTTTCGGAGGTGTAGCCCTGACTGGAATAGTAAGACCTGTAGCAGGTCGCCAGAAACGTAGCACACAGAGCTGTAGCATGATACACAGTCGGAGGTGTAGTAGTTCGGGCTTGTAGCAGGATCATTCGTGTGCGCTGTAGAAAGGGCAAGGGCTGTAGCAGTAGAACCTGAAGCGCTAGCTCCACTGGGATCTTTACCGGGAGCTGCAGTAGTAATAATGCATGGTGGCCCCTCGGTGCTTTCATAGGGGGCTGGGAGCATGTATCCGCCCAGCACGGCCCAAACGAGACCCATACTGAAAACAGTGCGGCCGTCGCGGGCATGAGAGATCTTCGGTTCAAACGCGCGGAGGGAAGGATGCACCCCTGCGGCCCCCCATTCATCAAGATGTACGCCCTGGGGTGCGCCTCCTCCGTCAACTCGAACCACGTCGGTGCGCTGCGCGATGCCCTGGTTACGGAGCTCGACGAACACAAATTTGCGGAACAGTGCATGTTCGGAAGCCTGCGCCGATTTCTGGGATTTGCGCTGCCCCCCCCCCCTGGCGGCGCCCCCAGCGCCGCCCCTGGCGCGCTCGGCGGCTCACGGCCAATCCAAGACATCGGCGCTCATGCAAGTCCTTGCTTCTCTTACAGGAGTCCCACTGGAGCATGAAGGCGCAGCGCAACGCTGACGGGCAACTGGTGCTGCGGACGTCGGCAGGGAGGGAAGCCGCGGCAGGCCTCGCGCCGCCATCGGCGCAGCCAAGGCGCCTGCATCCCCTGAGGTCGACACCCTCCGCTGCGCCGTAACTTCGGGGGTACCTTGTCTATCCCATGAACGGCGGCCTTCCCCCCTGTCCGACCCCACATCGACGCGGAGCCGACGCGGCTTGGATTCCAGGGCGCGATCCCGTCGATACGCGTTAATTTCCGGGGGCCTTGTCTGTCCCACCAAGAACGGTGGTCACGGGCGATCACGGGCGTGACCGCGTGACCAGAAGGGCGGGCCCTGTCGCGTCGCAATTCGCGCCGGCGCCGACTGCGAGTGCGCAGGGATGGCTCATTCCCACACGGAGCCGGCGCGAATCTCGTGGAGGGGGTGGGAAGGTGGGCGGGGGGGCCGGTCCCGGGCGTCATCGCGCATGAGAACGGGCTTCTTTCTTCCTGTCCGACCCAGCAGCCGACGCGGTGTAGATTCCAGGGCGCGATCCCGTGGATACGCGGTTGCATGGATACGTTCCGCGCGCTGCGTCCGCGAAAAAGCGCCCCGTAGCTATCCACGGGGTCGCGGCCCGGGGGCGCGGGTAGGTCTTCTGCCCCAGAGGGGATCGGCATAAAGGTAAGCTTCCAGAGGTGCGTGCTCGGAGCTCGGAGCGGACATACACGTGATGGCCCATGTCTGTTCTTCGCCCACACGCCGTCTGGTGCAGCACGGTGCAAGGCACTCTCGCTCACTCGCTCGCGGATGTCTCGATGTCTTGGGATGCTGGCGTCGCGCCAGGGAGCGTGGGGCGACGAGGGCGGCCTTCCTGAGCCCCCTCGCGTCGCGGCAAGACTGGCGGCGACGCCTGTCTTACGTCCTCTTGCGTCTGGTGGCCCTCGCCGGTCCCGGGGAAGGGGTCAAGGCCTTCTTTTCGGGTCGCAGAACAAATCCACGTTGGGGGATCTGAGATATACAACATGGCAGGGGGCGTCTTAGAAGGGATCTCTGGCTTCTGAGGGGGTCTCGAGGCAGCCCACCTGCCTTCGCAGCAGGCCGTCATCCTGGGCCATCCTCGCCCCACCCTGTTGGCGCGCCGTCGAGGATGAACGTGCAGGAGTCGAATCTTCACGCTCGGGTGCAGCAGGAGCGCAGAGAGCACAACAACACCCACTGCTACTTCAGGACACGCTTGCTCTCGCACTGTCTTCTCCTCCTCCTCCTCCTCCTCCTCCTCTTTCTCCTGTTCCTGTTCCTGTTCCTGTTCCCTTCCCTTCGAGGCCGCTTAGAATCCTGTGGACCCAACCCCACTGACCCCTCCCCTAGAGCCCCCAGGATATTTTCCAGAACCTTCAAAACAAGTGAGACCTCTCGCCTCCGCTTTCTCAACACTTCATGGCTTGAGCTTGATCTTAAACATGGGTCTCCGCCGATGCCGTACCAAACTCTTCTATCTGCGCGCCCGTCTCATTGAGCGCTTGCTGACTTGGCGTCTCTCACTAAGCATCAGTAGTGGTATACCCTTGGACGGAAGCCAGTCTAATCCATTTTAATGCCGGTTCTTGGCGCACTCTGGTGCATAGCCCTTCGGCAAAGCGTACTACTTCTGAATCGTTCCCGCGATCCCAGGATAACCCTTCCAGGAATTGTGTTCTAATCTCTGTCTCTCCTCCTCCCACCCCCCCCTCTGGACCCAGACCTCTGGACTCCTTCCCGAAGACTGTTTTCCCACCGCGGATCACTTCTGCACGGCGCCAGAGGCCGCCAACGACTCCAGGAGGCCGAAAACTGTGGGAAACACATGTTGTGATTGTTTCCAAGGCGCTGGAGGGCTGGGTCTCTCTCTTTCTCTCTCTCGCTGGAGGGCTGGAGCCAGCTCGAATTTGATATGTGGCGTTCAATTGCCCTCAGCTTGCCATGCCCCACACTGCGTCCAGACTGACTGCATAGGCAACTCTTTCTGTCTGTCGTCTCGTCCCGCTCCCCCTCCTCCACCCGCCAGCTCCCAGGATAGGGCTGTTCTCGGACCGGCTCAGGCCCACCAGCTTCACGATCCGTGCCTTCGACGCCCAGCGGGGCATCCAGCTGCCCATGGGCGATCCCTTGCCGGGCATCGTGGACGGGAGGCACCGGTTCGGATTTGAGCTGGAGGTGCCCCCCAGAGGCCGCGCTGGAGGATGCCAACAGGCTTAGGTTCGACGGACGATCGAGGCTCGATTTTTCAGGACGTTCTGCGTTGGTTTGAACCTGCTGGAGGCTTCTCGCCATCACGACCAGAAAGTATGGTCAGGATGGGCCTCAGGAGAGATCCAGGAAGGGTCTGATGATAGAGTTTGACAGGACTCCAGACCCCCTCGCGTCGTGAACAAAAATCGCGATGGGAGGCCCTTACACATTCCTGCCTGGGGGGTCCCTCACCAGACCCTGGGGCCGTCAGAGAGGACTGAGGATGAACACATTTTCCTAGTAAGATGCCTCCAGGGGCCCAGGCTTTACAAGACCACGACTTCGGGAGTCTGGGTAACCAGTGTCCTTGGAGCAAATCTGGCTTCATCTGGCCAGATCTAGCTCACTCTGGCTCAATCTGGTTCAGGTCGGCTCCATCGGGGGCTCATTCTTGATCACCCTGGTCCTGTACCCCAGCAGTCCCGCTGAATCGCTTCCACTCGTGCCCACAAAACCCTCCCAGGCGTTGCCACCCGACCTCCCCTCTGTGCTTCCGGCGCCCCCCTAGACCCTGGCCTCTGCGGGCTCCGCTTCGAGCCCAGGGCTGGCCCACGGAAAGCAGCCTGTCGCGCGAGATCCGCGTGCGCGACGGTCTGTCAGGCAAAGCTCGGACAGGGACAAATCCGTTCCAGAGGCGTTCTGGAACGCTCTCGGAGCTTTCCAGGGCGCTCGGAGAGGGCCGCGGTGCCCGACACATCCTTCAGAACCGCCATATCTCAGAGATCACCGATCTAGATTTTGCCCCGTTCTTGGCCTCGTCTCAGCTCTGGGCGGGAGTTCCGCAGCGGCACGCCTCTGGAAAGGGTCGATGCGCCGGCCGCCTCCCCCGGCCTGCCAGGTGGCGCCGGCCAGCGGGGGCCGAGAGCCGAGAGCGACGGCGGCGGCGGCGGCGGCGACGATTGCCTCCAGCGAGGGAGGAGGATCGGAAACTGGAGCACATAGATTACCAGTGGCGGGCTGTTTTCCAATCCCAGGACTTCTTGAGGGTCGGGGACGAGGTCGGGGTGGTGTGGTGTATACTTGTTTCCCCGTTTTCCCAGGGAAGCAACGAGAAATGCAAACACCAGGATCCCGCGTGCACCAGGATTCGCTGTCCTGTGCAAACTTCAGTGCAGGGCAGCAGACAGCGTCGGTGTATAGAGTTCGCTTCCCTAGATGATCCTGATTTGGGTGATCGTGGTGACGTTCGGGCATCTTGGGTGGCCGAGATTCGCTATTGGGGAAACGAGTCCCGGGGAAACGGGTCCCGAAGTTTTTCGCCGTTTTCGGGCTCTCGGGGCCCTCCACGGGCCCCGGGACTGACAGAAACCGACTCAGGATGAAGATCTCGTCCCGGGGAAAGGGAATGCCCCAGGGCCCAGGACACGCTTCTCTCAGGGCCAGTTCTCCTCTGCAAGGAGATGGCCACTGGCTCCAGAATCCAGGGTCCTTTTCCATTGGTGGAAGCGCACCCTTGTGTTGGTGCTGGTAATTACCCATTTCCAGGCCTCCAACAGAAGCCTCCGAGAACCTCCGAGAGCCTCCTTGAGCTTTTGAGAACCGTCGAAGTCCTTCGACGGCGATGGCCGTCGAGAGTCGTCGAGAATCGACGGCGGCTGCGACGACCGCGGCGCGGCGACGGCGCACTGCTCGTCGCTGTCGTGCCCGTCCTCGCCGCTGTCCTTCGCCTTCCCTATCTGGCCGCGAGAGCCGGGCCCTGCCCTCGCCGATCCACGATGCGGGCAAGTCGATGGGAAGCGGCGGTAGGGCTCGGATAATTCGTCGAGCAGGTGGCGCAATCCGAATCCTACCCCCGCCTCCAACCGATTCAGGAGAGTCGATGGCTGGCGGGGGCAGGGTTCGGATGCCGCCACCTCCCCCATCCTCCCAAAGGCCCGGCCAAGGGGGTGCTCAGCTGGGAGGTGCGCAGCGGCAGCATGCAGCGCCGGTGGCGGCGACCGCGGCGACGCCGTCGGCGGCGGCGACGGCGCCTCGCTCTCGTCGCCGTCGTGCCCGTTCCCGCCACAGTTCTCCGCCTTCCCCGTCCCCCCCGAGAGGCCCAGCCAACGGGGTGCTCAGCTGGGAGGTGTGCAGCGGCAGCCTGCAGCTGCGCACGGCGGACAGAAGGCCCACTCACGGGATCCTATCCGATCCGATCGATCCGATTCGATATCGATTCCGGCCCGCTCGATGCGATTCGATTCCAGTGCGGTCGGCAAATTTTGGGACGGCGTGTCGTTCCGCCGATTTTGGCCCCCCACGCTTCGCCGCGACACGCTATCAATTTCCGGATCCCCAGGCGTCAACGTCCCGAGCCTTTCCGAGCCTCCCGCACCGTGGAGCGGAGCGACACGCTATCCACTCGCATGGCATAGCGTGTCGCTGGGGCCGCCGCGGCGACACGCTAATCAAAGATTCACGACAGTACTCTGTCGATCCGATGCGGCCCAATGCTTGCATGGCGTTGTTGTGCATCCTGGCGTGGCCGATTCGATTCCGACTCCGTGCCGATGCGGCCCGATTCGATGCACAGTTCGATCCGATCCGATTTTCCGATTCGATGCTGACTGATCCTGCCGTCATCACCATCCTCAACCTCGCCATTTTCCTCGACCTCCTCGTCCTCCTCCTTGCGATGGCGGCACGTCGTGAAGTCTGACCAGTGCCTCTGCCAATCGTGCCGTTGCCATTGGCGGGTCCTGCTTTCGTGGTCTGAGCCCCGAGCTCTCGAGGTGGGCAGGTTTGACCTTCGGCGCTTCGGACCGAGGAGTACGACAGATGTCGAACCAAATGTCCCGATCTTGTCCTGTGTGCGGCCCACAACAGACATGCTTTTGAGCATGTCGGTCCCCGCACCGTTCCGCGGGAACAGACATGCCAATAAGCACGTATGGCCGCCCTCCTTGTTCTCATCTCCACACTTGTCTTAATCCTCATCGTCATCACCGTGATCATCGTTGTCATCATTGTTGTCATCGTCATCATCGTCACCGTCATCACCACCATCACCGTCATCATCGTCATCCTCATCATCACCGTCCTCGTTGGACTTGCCCCATGACCGTCATCATCGTCATTACCATCATCCTCGTTCACGTCGAAGCGGTTTCCTCCTCGTCGTCACCCGCATCGTCCCCGTCTCCCCGTCGTCATCCCCATCGTCGCCACCGTCCTCAAACGAACGCACCGCCCCGCGGGCACCCGTGTGTCACGCGCGCGTCCCCGCGCGCACCCGTGCGCTCCGGCGATGCCGTCCCCCGTGGGCGGGCCAGGGGGTCCTAGCCAAGCCGCAGCCGCGTTGCCGCCCCGCGTGGGCGTGCCTCGCGCGCGATCGCACGCTGGAGTACTGGGCGTTGACCTTTATTGCGTCGTGGTCGGACGATAAGGCCTTCCGCTGGCACCAGGTTGGATGTGCTCGCGGGCACAAGCAGGCCTCCTCAACAAGTGCCCGTCGGGATCGATCTTTGGGCACGGTGCCACTGCTCCAGCAAAGCAGGCGATCCCTGGACTGATGGCCGCGTCATCGACTTGTCGCCTGATCAAGCGCAGCGCAAGTTTCTCACCAAGATGCCGTTACAGTACAACATATCAGGAGGCGAGTTCACTCATGACATCGAGGAGCATTGGTGCTTTCTCGCGGAGGTAATTCATTCCCAGGAGGTCCTCTTCAAGTGGAGGGGAAGCGCACCTGTCGACTCCGTTGTTGTTGTGGACCCTTTCAGCGGAAGATGCGTCGGACCGCTGATAGAGTGTGTGGGACATGTGCATTCGCGCAAGCTGGAGGTCGTTCCCTTCCAGTTCGAGCGTCGCGTGTAAACCGGCATCTTGACAGTCCGCGAGGCCACGCCAGCTCGGCAGACGCGAAGCATCCACGGAGGGATTCCAGCCAAGCGACGCTTCCAGCCAAGCCTGGTGGCCATTCGACGCCCAGTTCCAGCGCGTGCGAGCGCAGGGATTCCGCCGAAAGTGCCGCAGAAGCCCAAGCGGGTGCCCGAATGTGCGCGGTCTGCTCCGGCGCCCGCGTTGGCGGCGATCCCCAAAGAGGCACCCGAAATGACCTTGGGGCGCTAGGCCGCGGCCTCGGCTGCCAGAGTGGCTGGACCAGCAGCTGCAGACGCAGCCGCGCCGACAGCGCCCCAACTGGAGCTCGCCGAAGGAATGCCCGAGGCAGCGGGGACGAGGCGGCCCTTCCCCCATTCCTCTGAACGTGGGTCTCGCATTAGCGCTGCACTCATTCGTTTTTTTAACAATTGCAAGGGCTTCGCGGATTGAAGGCGGGTGGTTCTCAAACTGTGGCTCCCGCTTCAGCGCCGCGCACATTCGTTTTTGAAGCTTGCAAAAGTTTCACATATTGAAGGCGGGCTGTTTTCAATGCTTGGTTCTCGCCTCAGCGCCGCGCGTCGAAAGTTTTGCAAGGGTTTCACGGATTCAAGGCGGGATGTTTTTAGAATGTGGTTCTCCTCTGAGCGCTGCGCACATTCATCCCAAAAGTTTGCGAGAGCTTCACGGATTCGGGGGGGCGGGTTTTCCGCGTGTGGTTCTCGCTGAGGGGGCGTGGTTTTCAAATGTTGCTCTCGCCTGAGCGCCGCGCACGGTCGTGCTAAATGTTTGCAGAAGTTGCAGCGGTTCCCGTGGTTAACGTACCAGAAGCTGTGTTTTGGATTGGCTCATGATTGTTAGGGCGCAACAGTTACATTCATTCGCTGTGCTAATGTCCCAGGAAGAGTGTTTTGTCACGAATCGATTGCAAACACCTCGCAATAAGGTTCATTCGCGGCGTTGAAATCATGAGAATAGTGTTTTGATACATTTCAAGATTTTCTCACGGTTGTCCCCCGACGGGGCAATCCCCTCCGTGAAAATATTTGTCTTTTTGGGGTTTGTGAGGAGAGAATTCGGAGGGAAGGTGCGTTTCAACATCGTTGATGACTGTTGGGTTTGCACTGGTCCTCCTGCTCCGCCTTCTCCTCCTCCTCTTTCTCCTCCTCCTCCCTTTCCCACTCTTCCACCTCTCCCTCCTCCTCTTTCTCCTCCACCTCTTCCTCCTCCTCCACCTCCTCCTCCTCTTCCTCCTCCGCCTCCTTCTTTTCCTCCTCCTCTTCCTCCCCCTCCTCTTTGCTATCCGTTTCCGTTTCCTTTTCTTTACGAATACTTCCCTTTTCGCACCCCGACGCGGGTCGGAAAGGCGGGCCGGGCGTTTCGCTCGAGATTTCCGTGCCATTCGTGAGCCTGCAGTTTAGGAATTTGCAGCACTTTCACATATGGAGGGCGGGCCGTTTCCAAAATGTGGCTCTCGCTTTCCCAAATGTGGGGATGTTCTGGAACGACCTCGCAGGCCTCACCCGCGATCTGCTGCCAGCGGCGCGCCACCTTCGGACATCCTGGACGGCCGGCAGTTGTCCCGCCTGCCCCTCGCTGGAGTGCCCGGACGTGGTGCTGCTGGCGTGTCCCGCCTTCCAGTGCGGGGAGTGCGCCTGCCCAAAGCTCGGGCTGGGCCCACTCCTCTGGCTGGGGGCGGCCATCGGCCTCGCGAGCGCCGCCGCCGGCGGGGTGGCGGGCTGCGCCATCGGCGCGCTGGCGTGCAGTGTCTGGCCGAGGTCGTCAACCCGACGGGCCGAGCCGGCGGGGGCGACGACGGCGGCGCAGCAGGTGCCGAGTGGGTTCGCGGCTTGGGTCGGCAACCGGCCTGCACAGACTGGCCCACGCCAGCCCAGCTGAGGGATGCCCACGTCTGACACGAAGTATGCGCAGATGCTCGTTCGCTACCCAGATGATAAGAACGGTTTGGTGTGGCATCATCATGTGCTTCTGTATCGTGTCGCTGCTGGCCGATGGGTGTGCCTCACCCCAGATCTACAGCTCCAGATCCATGATCTCAGCGAGCAGCGGCATAGGATCCTGTCGAGGCGCTCGCCATTCCCAGGCAATGTGGCGGCGGCGTCCTACGCGTTCGACGACGACGGGGTCACCGGGCCCCAGCTCTAAGAGTTCGTGGCGCAGGCGAAGGTGCAGGCCGTCATCCTTGCCGACGGTGACTTCGGGGAGCCCGAGGTCGAGAGGTGGGTCGTCTACCAGGTGGACGACGAACGCTTCGGCAAGGAGGTGCCCGACGATGTGTTGGCGGACGGCCAGCGGTTCGTTGGTCTCGGGTCCCTCGGCGTGGTCGACTGGCTCGGGGCGATGCGCTCTCAGATGCGGTGGAGCTCTGCACGGAGGACACGTTCGAGGAATGGCCGTTCCCCCCCCCCCGCGCGCGCGACCAAGGAGTACTTGGAGGCCGTGCGGGACGGGCCTGGGTCGATGGTGGTCTACGTGAGCGAGTGGAGGCAGGATAGCGGCGTCGGCGATGGCACCGCGGCCCTCCACGAGCACCGCAACTACGCATCGCAGTCGCGGGAAGCGAGTGGCCTCGATCGGCGACAACCTTGTCTCACTCTGCGCCTTCGAGAAGGGCCGCGCGAAGTCGCGGGCCCTCAATGCGCTGGCGAGGCGGGCGGCTATCTATCAGGTTGCCGCCAGGATTCGCTGGTATTCGAGATGTGGCGAGAGCAAGCGGCAAGCGGGGTGTTGCTGATGCTGGGTCAGGTCTACATCAGACTGGGGGAGCGTCTCAGCCGGGGCCTCGGGGGCACGCGCTGCCTTCGGATGGCCACCCTACCGGGCCCAGCTCACATTCAGTGTGCCCCGACGCTCCTCCAGCTACGTCATCGGTCCCCTCGCCCGGAGGGAGAGGACCCCTTCGAGCACCTTTTCAAGCGCAGGAGGCTGTTGCCCTCGAGTTGTTTGCCAGCGAGTCGGGGCTCATTTTTGCTTTCCGACCCCGTGGTCCACGGGTCGGGCGCCGTTCGAACTCGAGCGCGGTGGCAAGTGCGACATCAGCAGGGGAAGTACCCAAGACCTCGTCAAGTCCTGGATCCTCTCGGGCCTCAAATGGTATATTCACTTGGGCCCCTTTGCGCGGTCTGGTCCGCGGCAAGCAGAGGGGCGTCTAACCTTGGGAAGGCGCGCGCTAGGGAGACGGTGGCGGCGGAGCTGGCCCTCTTCACCGCGGAGGCATGTTCGATGGCTTCCCGCTGCGGGGCCCTCTGGAGCTCGGAGAATCCCGCGTCGCCAGGTCTCTGGGAGTTCGGGCCCATCGTGGGCCTCATGGGGGCCCCCGAGGTCTTCAAGGTCACCTCCCACGTGCGCCAGCGTGGGGTCCTGCGCAAGAAGCCCACCACCTTGCTCACCGACGCGTTGGCCCTTCGTGGCCTCGAAGCTAAGGATTATGGGGGACATGCGCATGGCGTTCTTGAGGGCCATGGGCGCGTCTTGGGAGCCGATGGAGTCTGGCGGTCACAGTGTAAGACTGAAGCAGCTGGAGCGCATCCGTCATCATTACATCGGCGCTCCGAAAGTTCATTCCGATTTGAGAGGCACGGCGCCGCGCGAATGCAGAACAAACGCTATGCTGGAAGGGCGCGGCAACGCGTGCCTCCTGGACAGGCGCGAGCAGCCGCGCCCCCGCGCGAACCCCGATCCCGCGCGGGGCGCGCTCCCGTTTGGCAGTGGCTCACCCGGGAAACCGTTTCTTGTGCAGGAAGTCCTGAACGGTCGGCCAATCGGCGGCTCCTTCGGACGAGACCCGGAACCACCGAGAAACCGTTTGCCATCGGATGTTCTAGGCGGTTTGCCCATGTTCGGTTTCTTCGGAGTGGGCCCGAAGACCTCGAGATCGATGTTTTTGCGAAAAGTTCCAGACGGTTCGCACATTTTCGGGTCGTTTGAAGTGGGCCCTAAATTATTTTTGGCACACGTCCCATTGATTTGGCTACTTTCAGATCGGTCGATAGACTTGTCTGGTCGTCGCATGACCGAACCCGAAAGCTTGTTCGAGAAATTCCGATGCTGTTTGCTCATTTTCGGGTCAGTACACCGTTTGGGATTTAAAATTTTTAATTGGGACGAGAATCCCGATCCCCCGACCCCGGGCGGGGGTTAGGCCCTGCCCTTGCATTGTACTGGGCCCCTCCGGCCAAACGGGGCGCTGGGCTGCCCATCGGCGCGCAGACTCTGCCCTCGCGACATCGCCCCCATCCGCTCTCGGGCCCCGCGAGTCTCATCCTGCGAGCGCCATCCTAGATGGCCCCAGCGAGCACGGTGGCGAAATTTGAGAAACTTTCGGATCGGCGCAGCATGCCCAAAGTTGGCCTCTATCCTTTTTCATATTGCACCTGCCGCTGCGAGCGGCGCGCAGCCCGACTGCGCCAGCATGCGGGATGAGACCATTGCATCGCTTGTCGGACGGCGGCGACATCTCGCCGCCCAAGGAGAAGCTCCTCGGACTGGCGAAGGCAGCGGCAGTGAAGTCCCTGCCAGGGCGTCGCGCTACATCCACGAGCACCAGCAACGGTTCGGGCGTCACTCCCCGAGCTGGGCCACGGAGACAGAAGGCGTAGCGGCGGCTGGCAATGGCCGCTAGAGCCGCAGCGCCTCCCGATCGATTCCTCCAGGAGGGGGCGGCGGGTGACGAGGCTAAGGGCGTCTACCGCCGCGAGCTGGACCGCTTCTACGACTGGGCGGAGGAGTAGGGCCGCCCCGCGGGACTGGTCTCGCTGGCGGCGGCCATGAAGGAGCATGTCTTCTGCGCGTGACAGGAAGGCTACGGGCCGAGCATCGGCCGCGCCGTCTGCTTCGGGCACCTCCTGCCGGAGTCGAACAACTACGCGCTGGGGCGGGAGCGGCTCAGCGACGTCGAGCGGGCCACTGGGTCAAGAAGGCCCTCGAGGTGGCGAAGGACCAGCGCCTCAGGAGGTGCTGCTCAACGTGGGCGGCTGGATGCTGGACAACGCTCGTAGCGAGAGCGCGGCGCGCTTGGCCCTGCAGCTGGACGACTACGGGCGCCCGCCTGAGAGCGTCGAGATGATGATCGGCAACATGCAGCCGCCAGTGTCGGGCGTGCGCGGCTCCGCCTCGCGCGACTGGAATGTCGTCTTTGCCCCCGGTGAGCTCGGGCTCGTCGCGCAGACCGGCCAGGTCGACGCTCGGCGGTGCTCGGCAGTTCCCCGCGGCCGCGGGCTCCACAGGTGGCCGCCGCGCCGGTGCAGACGGCTTTCAAGCAGGGCAGTGGCCGCCGGCCTGGCGTCGTCGAGCCCAAGACCCCGCTCTTTCGCAACCTGACCTTTGCGCAGTGCGAGCGGGACTTCAGGGCTGCCGCCACAGCTTTCAACTACTGAACGCGACGCCTCGCACCGCGCGCCACGCCGCTCCGTCTCGCGACATCTACCAAAAGCATCGGAATCTGGAGCAGGTTCGGAGACGTGGCCGCTGGGCCGCCATGAAGAATGCGACCAGGTATGAGCGCCGCGCCAAGCTTCTCAAGCAGCACGTAAAGCTCGATCGCCAGCAGATCAGCCGCATGAGCGGCGTCAGCAGCCACTTCCCCGAGGCACTCTTGAGCCGCGTCCGTAACAGCTGATTGCCCCCACCCACTCACCGCCTTCTGCATCCGTGACTTCGTCCCAGAGTACCAATGTGGGCGACGATATGGGAGGCGCCGAGCTCGGAGACTGAGTGCACCATATCCTTTATCCTGTGGCAAGGATTTCTTTGGACGGAAAATCTCAGCCGAACAGTTGGCCATCGTGTGCATGCGCAGTCAGTGGGCCCCCGCTGTATAGTCATCATTGCCCTGCGGCACTCCGTTGGCTTGGGCGCGGGCAGGCTTCCGGAGATGTTCTGGGCGAGCACTGAGCGTCTAGAGGAACGTTCGTTTTTGAACAAATTCCAAGAGCTTTGCGGATTGAGGGCGGGCGGTTTTCAAAATGCGCATCCCCCCCCATCAACGCCGTTTTTTGCGCGATCTTCACGGATTTAGGGCGGGTGGTTTTCAAAATGTGGCGTTCGCCTCAGCGCCGCTGGTTTTTTGGCGCGACTTTCACGGATTGGGGCCAGGTGGTTATCAAAATGCGGTTTTCGCCCACCGCCGCGCGCACTAGCGGCAAATATTTGCAGGGAGGCTTCAAGGATTGAGGGCGGGTGGTCTTCAAATCGTGGCTCTCGCTTAACGCCGCGCGCGTTAGTTTTATCTATAAACCAAAAGTAGATGCACGAGCTTCACGGATTGAGGGCGGGTGGTTTTCAAACTGTGATTTTCGCTTCAGCGCAGCGCATTCTAATGTCAAGAACCAAAGAAACGTTCAACAGTTTCGCGAGCTTTCATTGCGAATATTCCGTAGACGCTGTTTTAGTGTCAGCGCGCAACAGGTGCCTCGATTCGCGGCGTCGAAGTCCCCGGATTATTGTTCTTGCACGAGTCAGGATCGTCAGGGCGCAGCGATCAGGTGGATTCGTGGCGCTGTTGCATTGAGAACAGCGTCCTGGTGCGCCTCGGGGTTTTGGCGCGGCTGCCCCCCCACTAGGCGCGCCCTTCAGTGGAAGAGAACTTATGCGTGGGGCATATGCAGATTGAGGTCAAGGGGGGGTGCATCCCAACATCGTTGGCGAGTCTTGGGTTTATAGTTGTCCTTCTCTTTTCCTCCTTGTCCGCCTCCTCCTCCCCGCCCTCTCCCCCCTGCGCGCGCGCCCCCAACCTCTCCTTCGAGGCGCATTATCTGAGAGAATTCGCCTGGAGTTGTCTGGGCGCGAAAGCGGCGAGACCTAAGCGGGGCCGTCCTGGAGGCGACAGGGGCTGGGGGCCCCGGGAAGCGACCGGGCGCGGACGGCCAGCCAAACGATCATTCGGCGGCCCGCAGTCTGAGGAGGAGCAGCAGCAGGAGAGGAGGAGCCCCACTCCTGATTGGAGCCCAGGCAGGGGCCCAGTGGAGAAGCCGCCCACAGGGATAACGTAACATGAGCGCCCCGACGAGGCACAATAGCCCCAACCCGCGCGAGTCGTCGGCCCAGCGGTCAAAAAATGCCACGACCCAAAGGCGCGGGCAGCGGAGAAGCAGTCGGGGCGACCCGAGCTCGCAAAGGCGGTAGCGGACATGTTGAGACAGATCCGCGTCTACGAGTTCTTGATCAACGAGCAGCGCCGTGTTTTTTCATGTTCATTATGCGTTCGTGCGCACGAGGACGCGTTATCCGAGCGCCCCAAAAGTCTCCGTGGATCCAACCCCTTACGCCAGACGGAGCGACGCAAGGAGAGACTGCGGGTCATGGCAACCATGTGTTACAGAATGTTTGTTTTGTTCGGGCGTCGCCCTGTAACTTAGTAATTCCGCGTCCTGCGGCCGTGCCCTTTCCCTGTCTGCTTCCTTGCCATGGCCTGTTTGGCTCGAGCAGGTTGCGTTCTCCACGCGTGGGTGCGCCCTGGCCCCAGGTTCGCGGTGCCCGTCCTCATGGTTGGCCTCGTTCCGGCGCTCGCGGGTCTCCTCTCCCTTGGGGAAAGGCGGAGCTCGAGGTTGGCGCCCCTCGCCTCGACCGCCGGGCGGTGGCGTTGGGGGGCGGAGGGCCCCGCCGCGTAGGCGACGGATGGCCCCGCGCCCCGCTCGGCCACGAAGCAAGACCTCCCCGCGCGCGGCGCGGCTCAGGATGTCGGGGAAGTGAGGCTCATGGCTGAGGCGCTCCATCAAGCCAGCCGCGTCCGGCTGGAGACAGCCAGAGCGCCCGGCCCCCCGCGCGAATCAATTTCCCCCCGGATGGCGGGGCATTCCTCTGGACCTCGCCGCACGCGGCGCGGCTCAGGATGTCAGGGAAGTGAGTCTCATGGCTGAGGCGCTCCATCAAGCCAGCCGCGTCCAGCTGGAGAGAGCCGGAGCACCCGGCCCCCCGCGCGAATCAATCTCACCCCGGATGGCGGGGCATTCCCCTGGGCCTCCCCACACGCGGCGCGGCTCAGGATGTCGGGGGAGCGAGGCTCATGGCTGAGGCGCTCCATCAAGCCAGCCGCGCCCGGCTGTAGAGAGCCGGGGCGCCCGGCCCCCCGCGCGAATCAAATTCACCCTGCGTGGTTGGCGGGGCATTCCCCTGGACCCCCCCGCACGCGGCGCGGCTCGGGATTTCGGGGAAGCGAGGCCCGTGGCTGAGGCGCTCCATCAAGCCAGCCGCGTCCGGCCGGAGAGAGCCGGCGCGCCCGGCCCCCCGCGAGAATCAATCTCACCCCGGATGGCGGGGCATTCCCCTGCCCCGGAAGACAAAGCCTCGCGGCTATTCTGGGGCCGCCCTGGTGTGGAACTGTCAGCGATTTTCAAGTGTCTGGTCGTGTCTATTTTCATGTCCCGCGCATCATATTGTTTATCAATGTTTCGTTTGCGTTGTGATGGTCACGGTGTATATTTTACGAGTTTTAGACATGTTTAGACATTTTTAGCAACGGAATTAAACATGTTTAGCCACGAATAGCCACAAAATAGCCACGGCATGACATTTAGCCACGTTTAACCATGTTTAGCAACGCTTAGCCATGTTTAGTCACGGGCGCGAGCGAGTGTTTTGCATGCGCAAATTATAGCCACGCTTAGACACGAAATAAACACGCATGTTTTCTAATCGGAACATGTGCGAATGACTGTGTCGAAGCTCCCGAAGCGGTGGAACGCAGCTGAGGCTTGGCCGTCACCTGTGGCAGGAGGAAAAGGAAGACGGAGGAGCAGGCAGAGCCCCGCGCGAATCAAATTCCCTTTGGGTGGCGGGGCGTTCCCCTTGGACGCGCACGCGGCGCGGCTCAGGATGTCGGGGAAGCGAGACTGATGGCTGAGGCGCCCCATCAAGCCAGCCGCGCCCGGCTGGCGAGACACCCGGCCCCCCGCGCGAATCAATTTCACCCTGGGTGGCGGGGCGTCCCCTTGGGCCTCCCCACACGCGGCGCGGCTCAGGATGTCGGGGAAGTGGGGCTCATCGCTGAGGCGCCCCATCAAGCCAGCCGCGTCTAGCTGGAGAGAGCCGGAGCACCCGGCCCCCCGCGCGAATCAATTTCACCTTGGATGACGGGGCATCCCCCTGGACCTCCGCGCGGCGCGGCTCAGGATGTCGGGGAAGTGAGGCTCGTGGCTGAGGCGCTCCAAGCCAGCCGCGTCTGGCTGCATGGATGGCGGGGCATTCCCCTGGACCCCCCCACGCGCGGCGCGGCTCAGGGTGTCGGGGAAGAAAGGCTCATGGCTGAGGCGCTCCCAGCCAGCCGCGTCTGGCTGGAGAGAGCCGGAGCGCCCGGCCTCCCGCGCGAATCAATTTCACCCCGGATGGCGGGGCATTCTCCTGGACCTCCCCACGCGGCGCGGCTCAGGATGTCGGGGGAGTGAGGCTCATGGCTGAGGCGCCCCGTCGAGCCAGCCGCGCCCGGCTGGAGAAAGCCGGAGCACCCGGCCCCCCACGAGAATCAATTTCACCCTGGGTGGCGGGGCATTCCCCTGGATCTCCCCACGCGCGGCGCGGCTCAGGATGTCGGGGAAGCGAGGCCCAGGGCCGAGGCGCCCCATCAAGCCAGCCGCGTCCGGCTGGAGAGACAGCCCCAGCAAGGGGCTCCCGCGCACGCAACCCAGCGCGACGCGGTGGAGGCCGCAAGCCCGGACGGCCACGCTGGCAATTGCCAGCGTGGCGATTTGGGGACTTCCCGCCACTTTTAAAGGCAACGGGAAGTCCACAGATGAACCCAGGCTCGTCACCTCTGTGAACCCCGCCAGGAAGTCCACAGACGAACCTTTCTCGCCGAAGCTCTTCGAGAGGCGGCCCACGCGCGGTCGAGGAAACCCGGAGTTCGAAGGGGAGAAGCCGCTCGCCCGCAACGAAAGACTTGGCGCGGCCGCCGGAGCCCCGGATGCCTCAAAGGCAGCGGCGAACGGGGCAGCACCCCGACCGCGCTCTCCGTCGTCAGCGGCCCACCTTTGCCACCGCCCGCCTAACTTTTGCGTGCTCCTTGCTCGCCGCCCGCTCCCCCCCCCGCCGCTGCCCCGCCGCCCTGGCAAGCTATCTCGCCCGCCGCCCTGGCCCCCGCCGGCTCAGCCTGCCGCTTCGTCCGCTGCCCCGGCCCGCCGGCCAGTTGCTGCCCTGCCACCGCCCTGCGAGTGGCCGACCGCTCGACGCGCGCGCGGCCTCCGCGCGGGCGTCTGACGGCATGGCGAGTCGCCCACCCGCGAACGCTCGAAAGTGTTTGTGTGTGTGTGTGCGCGTGTGTGTGTGTGTGTGTGTGTGTGTGTGTGTGTGTGTGTGTGTGTGTGTGTGTGTGTGTGTGTGTGTGTGTGTGTGTGTGTGTGTGTGTGTGTGTGTGTGTGTGTGTGTGTGTGTGTGTGTGTGGTGTGTGTGTGTGTGTGTGTGTGTGTGTGTGTGTGTGTGTGTGTGTGTGTGTGTGTGTGTGTGTGTTGTGTGTGTGTCTGTGCGTGTCTGTGCGTGCGTGCGTGCGTGCGTTTTGCGTGCGTGTGCGTGCGTGCGTGCGTGCGTGCGTGCGTGCGTGCGTGCGTGAGTGTGTGGGGTGTGTGTGTGTGTGTGGGTGGGGTGGGTGGGTGTGTGGTGTGTGTGTGTGTGTGCGTGCGTGCGTGCGTGCGTGCGTGCGTGCGTGCGTGCGTGCGTGCGTGCGTGCGTGCGTGCGTGCGTGTGTGTGTGTGTGTGTGGGTGTGTGTGTGTGTGTGTGGGTGTGTGTGTGTGTGTGTGTGGGGGTGATTGTGTGTGGGATTGTGTGGGATAGTGTGTGTGATTATGTGTGTGTGGGTGGGTGGGTGAATGGGTGGGTTGGTGTGTGGGTGTGTGGGTGTGTGTGTGTGTGTGCATGCTCCGCCTCAGGGGTGCCTTGCAGGTCATTCGCGACCTCGGCATCCACGGTGCAGGTCCGCCGCACTGCCCTTCGCGGCCTGGCATTCACGTGTCGAGCCATTCCTGCTCCGCTTCGCCTTGCTTGGTTTTCAGGCCAACCCCTTCTCTGAGGTGGTCCCGCACGGGCCCTCCCCTCCGGGTTGCCTCGCAGGTCACTTGTGACCTTGGCTCCCCTGGGCCCTCAATGCATGGTTTCGCCTGCAGCTCATGCTGGGCCTTCCTCCCCCCTGGGCGCTTGCCTCCGGCGGCCGCCCCGCCTACCTACCCCCAGCTGCTGCCTCGCCGCCGCTGGACCTGCCCCCGGCACCCCTCCGCCGCTGCCAGGCCCCCTCTGAGAGGGCCCGGCTTCCGTCTCCCTCTTGCCCGCGCCGGGCTTCCTCCTCCCTCGCCCGTGCATCGCGGCTTAATTCGCGTACCGTGCATCCCATTCACGCCCCATCGCCAGCGCAGTGACTCTGCCTAGCCGCCGACCTACAAAGTGTGTGTGTGTGTGTGTGTGCGCCTGTGCTGTTCCGCGCCGTTCCCACTGCGGCTGACGCCCGTCTAACTGCACACACGCGCCAGGGTCTCCCTCGTTTGGCGCCGTTCTCTAAGCAGTCTGGCTTTCATCCACAACGTTGGGTGCAATCAGTGGGTTTACACATTTGACATATTCGATCGCTACTGCGGTCTCACCACATCGCCGGCGGACTGAAACTTTTGAACGTTTGCTCCTTGCTGTCGGTTGGCTGCTGCTCCATCTCCGCGGAAGAGGAAGCGCGCGTGCGCGTTTGCACCGTTACTTACGCATCGTCCGCTTTCATTTCTTGCAAGGTTCGCCTTGGCCTGTCCGTTGCGAGGACTGCTACGCTTTCCGTTCCAGCGCGTTCGGCGGCCGCCCGCAGTTCATGTTTGCGCAGCCCCAGTGCCGATTGCGGGCTGATGGCTCGCACTAGAAGCAGCGGTGGAAGAACACAGCGCTCGCGGCGCCCGCGACTTCGAAATCGTCACCGTTATCGTGTCAGGGTTCCAGAAAGGGGCCGCCTTCGGCGCACCTGAGCTCTCCGTGGAAGGCGGCGGAGCGGTGATTTGAAGCCAGCGAAAAAGAGAAACTGCGGCGGGTCCGCTGGCGGAGGGTCGGCGGAAAGTTGGCGGAGGGCGGCGGAGAGACGTGGGTTGTCAATGTGTTTGGGTGCAGGGCTTCAAGAGTTGGACGCGCGTCCTCTCCTGCTCGCTCTCCTCCTCCTCCTCCTCCTGCTCCTCCTCCTCCTCGCCTCCTCCTCCTCCTCCTCCGCCTCCTCCTCCTCCCACGCACATCCTGCTCGCTCTCTCTCTTTCTTCCCTCCCCTCCCTCCAGGCCGCCAGACGTGCCCTGGGTCTGCAAGGGCGGGGGCCCGCGGAGGTGCAGCCCATGGCTGGTTCACTGGGGTCAGTGCTTGTCGAACGACAAGAGGACGTGCCTGACTGGCGACGAACGGCGCTGTCAGGAACAGATCGAGTCCAGAGCCTACTTCGGTGATCGGCGTAATCGAAAACACGGAGCGATTTCGGACGAAGATTGGCAGCAGTTCTTGCCCATTCTGGGCAGGGCCCGTTGTCGGTGTCGCCGCGGACGGTGTCCATTTGGGACATACTGTGTCGCCTGCCCGAGAGCAGCCGCTAGCGGCGTTTTGGGCACCGTTTGCTGCTGAGCATCGTGCGCTGTTCCCCTCGCCCGACATGCTGAGGTTGTTAGAGCGATAGAAGAGAGCTCCGGACCCGCCTCTAGGGGGCCACCTGCGAACCGTACCCCTGCCCCCCACGATTTCTGAGGGGGACGGTGGGGTTCACTTCGTTCGAAAGCCCCCATGCAAAGTGACCCCCCCCCCCACCTCAGAAATCGTGGGGGGCAGGGGTAGGGTTCGCTTGTGGCCCCCTAGCCTCGGGCACCCTGCACGCCGCGGTCGCCAGGCCCCAAGGGTCCCAGTGCTCCTTGGGTACCCCGCCCCGTCTCTTTGACGAAGGGCGTCTGCCTATGGCGACCGCCGGGCCCCCAGGGGCCCGCTGCTCCCTGGGGATCCCGCCTCGCGATCTCGGGAATCGCTCGAAGCAGCACTGTTTCCACAGCCCTTACTGGCGTGCCCAGGTGACGCTCTGGAGTTTGATTGCGGGTCGGACGCCGCCTCCAGCCCGCAGGGGGCCAGCTGCCAGGCGCTCGGCTCCTGCTCGGAGGAGAGCCAGCTGGCGGGCGCCGCGTCTGGCACCCGCCGCGGCACGGACTCCTCGGAGGGGCTGGTCAAGCAGGTGCCCCTGGACGTGAGCCGCTGGCTCGAGGCCGCCTCGTCTATTGTCCGTCGTCCTCCCTCGTAACCATCGCTCGTGCGTCGTCGTCCCGTGCCCCTGGCACCTGCCACGGAGTTCTGCGCCCGTGCCACGAGCGAGCCGCGCGGCCTCGAGGCCACCTCGTCCATTGTCCGTCGTCCCTGCCTGTCGGACCGTCGTTCGTTCGTCGTGGTGCCGATTCCCTGGCATCCGCCACGGAGCTGTTGCGGGCCGCGCGGCTCGAGGTCACGTCCAGAGATGGCGCCGAGGGGTCCTACATGCTGTCGGTGGAGGACCCGCAAGCGCACGTTCATCTGCAGGTCGAGGGCCCGCGGTCGCTGACCCTGGTTGACGAGGGTGACGGCGTGGTCAGCATCTCCTGGATCTCCGGGGAGAAAAGACATTGGTAATGATGGTGGTGGTGATGATGGTGATGCTGATGATGACGACGATGATGATGATGCTTTTGAACATCACTGGCATCATCACAATCACCGTTGTCATCAGCATCAGCATCATCATCACCATCATCATCACCAGTATCACCATCACCATCGCCATCATCAGCATCAGCATCATTATCAGCATCAGCATCATCATCATCCGCATCATCATCGTCATCACCATCATCATCAGCAGTATCATCGTCAGCATCATCCTAATAATCATCATCGTCAGCATCATCCTAATAATCAAAGCAGCAGTCGTATCATCAACATGCTAGTAACAATGACGTCAATCTTGAAAACACTATGATACATGACTTGCTGACTTGCTGACTTTTAAGTATATCAAAAGTCTTCGACCATCCGTCCAGCGTCGCTGGATGCGTAGTGTTTTACTTTCCTGAGCTACTTCCTATCAGGTATCCGCATGTTGCCGCAACTTGAGTGTTTATACGAGCTATGGTTCGCAGGACAGCCATTATATACGTGGATTGACGCTTCAATTCCGCTCGGTGTCACGGTTTTTGAACTTTGTGATTTCACGATTGTGCCACCTAGCTTGTCATGGTGTTGTTACGTCCGCTCTCACTCCTCCCCTCCCCCCATTGTTCCTCCTCCTCCTGCACTCCTTTTCCTGCCCCTTCCTTCTCATGATGGATCTGTGACGCTATCTGCATTTGCAGTACACAGCACCGATATTTTCTGCAACGGTCTCCGATGGTCCACGTACACAGCGCATCCTTCAGCGCGCAGTGGTTTTCAAACGCGGAGAGTTGCACGGCGGAGTGCAGAAACGACGCCGATTGTGAGTTCCTTTTGGTGCGAGGAGGTTCTTGCTGCTTCTTCGCCGCAGCACTGCGCCACATTTGACGATTGTTCTTCGCTGCGCAAATATGCAGACGATGCCAGCGACGTCACCACAGATGCCGTGTATGTAGATGATACAAGCGGGGGAGGGGGAGCGTCGTTGTGGGGGTGGGCGGGGGCGCGGGTGGAGGAAATGTGCATCGTGATTGTGTTCCACCTTTGTTCAGCTGATCGGCGCATGTTCGTGCTGAAACGCACGTTGGCGCTCGAGGCGACCAGCTCAGGGCTCTCTTTTGAAGTGAGAAAAGTCATCCTCATCATCAGCAGCAGCACCAGCATCATCAGCATCATCATCATTATCGGCGTCATAAGCAACGTCATCATCAGCATCATCCCCGTCGTCATAATCAGTATCACCATCGTCGTCATCATCATTATCATCACCATCGTCGTCATCACCCTTATCATTGTTAATATCATCATCGTAATCATCATCATCATCGTCATCACCATCACCACCATCACCACCATCACCACCATCGTCGCCGTCATCAACATAATCAGCATCATTCAGCAGCATCATCATCGTCATCGGAGCGTTGCGTTCGCTGGTCAGCAGCGCACATTGGTCGTTGTGTCGACTGCAGCGGCATGGTTACGCCTCGAGTGGCAGCTGCAAGGCATGTAGAGACATTGGCACACTTCACCATCGCCACTGGGGATGCCGCAGCACGTATGCGGTCCACGGGCTCTCGGTGGACGAGCCTTATACTTGAAGGCCAGGATGGCGTCGTCGGCCGACCCGCTCTGGACAAGGGCCTTGCTGCCGAGGCGGCTGCCCTGCCCAGGCAGGAGGGGCGACTCAGACCTGTGGTGCTGTGGGCTGGGCGACGTCAACGGGATGGCCACTGGCGCGGTCTACATACTGCGACAGCAGCTGCCCTCCCGTCGGTGTCGGTGCGTTGGAAGAGCTCTCTTGAGGGGCAGCGGATTCCTCCGTCTCCATTGCTTGTGTGCGTTGAAAAAACAAGCAGCTGCTACCGCAAGCGGTACGGGCCAGACGCGACCCGATTCCGAGTTGGCTGGGGCGTCGCAGTGCCCAGGCAGGGCCAGGCCGTGGTCGGCCACTGCGGCGCGCTGCCTGCCCCTGTCCAGGCGTCACCGCGAGCGGAGTTTTGGGGCGGCCCTGCAGGTGCTGCAGGTCGCAGCCCCGCCAATGGTGCTCTGCACCGGCCACCTCCCCCTTGTGCTCGGCTTCGGGGAGGGCGTGCCGTGGGCTGCAGCGGCTGGCAGGCCGAACCGCGACGTGTGGCCCCGCATCTTGGCCAAGATCGAGGACCTCGGCGGCATGGGGTGCGTTTCCAGTACGTGGAAGGCCACACGGCAGCAGGCATCCACAATCACGGCAACGATTGGGCGGACACCATGGCCTCCTCGGTACCAAGCTGCACGCCGCCACCGTCGCCGCGAACTGCACCGTCCACGAGCTGCTCGGGAAGATTCGGCAAGTCGAGTGCCACGTCGCCAACGTCAACGCGGCCATGGCGGACGGCGCGGTGATGGATTACAGGCAGGGGGCGCCAGACGGCAGGCGCAAGGGCAAGCGGGCCAGCCGCAAGCCGCGCGAGCCGCAGTCGCACTTCAGGCACTCCTTTTTCCCCGTCAGCAAGCTGTGGAGGTGCGCATGGTGCCGCGCAAATGCGTTAACCAGCAGGGGGCGCAGGAAGCTCGAGCGTCAACACTGCATCGCGAGCGGCCTGTTCGAGAAGTGCCTGCTCGACCAAGGCAAGAGCGACCAGGACCTGAGACACCACCGCAATCTGAGCGCCAGCGACAAGCGTGAGCTCGGCACGAGCTCGACTTCGACGGCACTGGCAGGCCGCCCAAGCGCCACAAGAGCACGCAGTCGACACCATCAAGTCCTGCCTGAAGCGCACCTGCCCTGACGACCGCAACGAGAAGGATGCGGAGGACTACGCGAGGACCCGCTTCGACGACACCAGCCCGGCGACGAGCACCGTTCCGGGGGCGATCGTGTCGGCGACCGTGTTGGGGACATGCGCGGCTTCTGTCGGACGACCACCTGGGCGAGGACAGCCCCCGGGCCCCCCCGACCACCAAGCAGCAGGCGGTCGTCGGGCTAGCACCTTTTCGAGGAGACCCGCCATCAGACCGAGTGGGGAGGGCACGCTGTCCCGCCGCCGACCAAGGCGCCGAGGCTGGAGGCGCAGCTGGGGGCGCCGCCTGCCAAGCGCGCCCGTGGGGCAGAAGCCAATCGGGCAGATCGGATGACGCCGACAGAGCTGCGGCCTGGCCCGAAAAAACTGATCGAAAATATTCAAAATATGTTTCGAATGATACTTGGCACATACAAGCTCGTTGAAATCGATCATATTGTCTTTGGCGCACAACGCTTCAACAAACTCGACCATAAGGTATGAAACTCAATGTCGCGTGGAAACTAAATCGATCCCAAATGCAAATGCAATCTAGAAATTGATTAGTGATCGTGATATCAATCGATTCCTGCTGGTGCTCCGCCAGCAGCCAGCCGCACGGGGGGCACAGGCTGCTCGTAGGAGGCGGCATGGTCGGGTGCATCAGCTGCGGCATGTACGGCACGAGCTCGCGCTGCGGGCTGTTGACGGCATGCCGGCCTGAGGATAGCACCAGTGGGAGCCTTCGCAGGAGGAGGATAACCATTCGCTGAGGGTCGCCACCCAACGAGGGAGGCCAGCTTTGATGTGCCAAGGCTGGTGCGCGTAGGCGACCCTGAGATCGCCTGGCTGCAGCTCACGTGATCCGCGCAGTGTGGAGGTCTTCACTGTTGAAACCTCCCCACAGTCTGCGCAAGCGTGCAGGTTTTCTGCCCGTGCCGCTGGCTGAGGCACGCCTCGCCTCCTACCTGTCTGAACGTGGTCAGTCCCCTGCGTCGGTGAGGATGAGTTCGTGGACCCTCTTGAGTGCTGTGCCGCGCGGGTATAGCCTTGTCAGGGCCAAGGTAGGTTTGCATGGCGGCAGTACCTGGTAGACGGGGGTGGTAAGGGGGGGCTCTCTCTCTCTCTCTCTCTCTCACTTTTCCTGACTCAGTCGGCCTCGTCACGTTATGTATACCGCGGTCCCGATCGTCATCTTCAGCATCGTCAGCACCATCCTCACCACCACCATCATCATCAACAGGATTAGCCACATCATCATCATCATCATCATCATCATCATCATCATCATCATCATCATCATCATCATCATCAGCAGCAGCAGCAGCAGCAGCAGCATCAGCATCAGCATCATCATCATAATCATCGCCATCATCATCACCATCATCATCACCAATAATATCATCATCACCATCACCATCATCATCGACATCGTCATCGTCACCATCATCGTCCTCATCATCCTCATCATGATCCTCAGCCTCATCGTCATCGTCATCGTCAGCATCATCTTCATCGTCATCATCATGATATTCGTCATCATCTGCATCATCATAATCATCATCATCATCATCATCATCAGCAGCAGCAGCATCGTCATCATCATCATCATCATCATCATCATCATCATCATCATCATCATCATCATCATCATCATCATCATCATCGTCATCGTCATCGTCATCGTCGTCATCATCATCATCATCATGATCAGCATCATCATCATCATCAGCATCATCATCATCATCATCATCATCATCGTCATCGTCATCGTCATCGTCATCGTCATCGTCATTGTCATCATTATCATCATCGTCATCAGCATCATCATCCTCCATCATCGACCCTGCTTTCTTCGCCACGCGCAGATACTCCTGGAATTGCTCCAGTGCCCGTTTTTCGTCGCCACGACCAGGTTCGCCTCGTAGATATCCGATGCCCGCTCATCGTCGCCACGGCTGCATTCGCTTCGGTGCGCCCCAGGAAAGGTCTGGGTAGCAGCGGTATGAGTATCTCTCCGTCCCCCAGGAACCGCGTCGTGAAGCACGAGGGGCCCCCTTCTGGGGGGACCGCCAGCGAGCTCGGGTCCGACGCGAGCTACGAGGTGGTGTGGATGCCCACTGACCGCGATGGGGAGGAGGCCGTGCGCGGGAGGGTGAATGGTGACCGTGGTGGCGGAGGCGGATGAGGCGGATGAGGGAGGACGAGAGGATCACAATGTGGAGGAAAACGAGGGGGAGGAGGAGGAGGAGGAGGAGGAGGAGGAGGAGGACGAGGACGAGGACGAGGACGAGGACGAGGACGAGGAGGAGGAGGAGGGCGACGCCAGCAACGATAACGACGACGACGACGCGAAGGTGATAGAGGAGACGGAAGAGTGAGGAGAGGAGAGGGGAGAGGTGATAGAAAGAGAAAGTAGTATCGAGGAGGAGCAGGAGGAGGAGGAGGAGGAGGAGGAGGAGGAGGAGCATTATATTAGCCAGTAGGGGAGATGAGGATGAGGATAAAGATGAGGGCGTGAAGAGGGGGAGGAGGAGGAGGGGAGGAGGAGGAGGGAGGAGGAGGAGGAGGAGGGAGGAGGAGGAGGAGGAGGAGGAGCGGGGCGAGCATGAGTGCGAGGATGAGGAGGAGTGGGAGGAGGAGGAGGAGGAGGAGGAGGAGGAGGAGGAGGAGGTTCGCAGCAGGCGAAGGGAGAGGAGGGGGAGAAGGATTCGGAGGAAGAAGAGGAGGAGGAGGAGGAGGAGGAGGAGGGATGAGGATTTCGAGCAGTTCGTTGATACGGAGAAGCTGCGATGAGCGGCCTTGCCTGCATGAGTGGCAGTTTGCGTATGCGTAAACAGGATTGCTCCGTCGTCCAGCCGTAGCGCGCAGGAGGGAGGGGGAAGGGGAGGTTAGGAGGAGGGAGGAGGGTTGCCACACCCCCCGTGATCCGAACTTCTCCTCGTCCTGTCGTCTCAGCCCTGGAGGCCGGCCTGCTGAGGGACCTGGCCGGCAACCCCGTCACCGCCTGCGGCCTCTACCACGACGTCGGCGGGCTCTCGCCCCACCTGGCCTGTCTCCTCCCTCCGCTTTCCCTCCTCCTCCCTCCCGGAAGAAAGGACAGCGACACCACCACCACGTGGTGCGACCTCCAGCGAGGCGTTGCACGATGCCTCCCAAGCAGGGGCACAGGGGCGGGGCTGTCTTGAGCGGGGAGGGGGCACCGCACTACCAAGAGGACCCCCGCCTGACTCCTCGCGCTGCTGGTGGTGTTGTCGCTGCTCCTGGTTCCGAGTCCTCCTGCTGCTGCATCCTCCTGCTCCCTCCAGCTCCTCCCGACGACGATAGTCCATTTTCTGGGCGGCTCTTTGTCCTTCTTGAACTCCTACGTGGACTCCAGGGAGTGTCTCCAGGCACCTCCAGAGGCTGGAGGGAGGAGGATGGAGATCACTCCTCCTCACCATCCTTCCTTCTCCTTTCTCCCCTCTCTCCGCGCGGCTGGTGCCAGAGGTGCGCCTTGTGGCCTTCCAAGCGGCCCCATACAAGTGAGTTCACTGCCTCTGTGCACGTCTGCCTCCGAGCACCGGCTGGCGGCCGAGCCTCGGCTGCTGGCAGGGGCAGCACCCGCGACCGTGCCGGCGCTACTGGCGCGGCGGCCTCCTGCGCAACAGGCAGCCCGCAGCGGGCCGAAGCGCGGACGGGAACGCGGCCGCAGCGGGCGCAGATCCCCGACGCGGGGCTCCACGGCCTCCTCCGCTTCGCACACGGCATGCGCCCCAGGCGCCGCCCGCGGCCATGGCGCGCGCGAGTGCCGACTCACGCGCCGCACGCGGAAATACGAACTTGTTGGGGCCAAGGAAGGGCTTTGGTTTCCGAGCCACTCCTTCGGCCCAGGTCGGATAACTTCCTGGCCGTCCGTAGATAGAAAAGCCCCTTCGTCTCCAACTTGGCTTACGTCTCGCGGGCGCCGCTACACGCGTCGCGCTCGCCGCGCCCAAGGCGCTGCTGCGCAAGCTGGAGCCATGCATCCCGGTGACGACCCTAGAAGCCGTCGCCGACTGCGGTGCAGGCAAGACGCCGATGTGGGGACCATTGTGGATTCAGAGGGGCGAGGCCCTGGCTTTCGGGCCGCTCCTGGGGTCCAGGCCAGGGCATCTCTTCTTGGCCAGGGCTCGCCAGGGCAAGAGGATGCCCGTTCGCCTCCTGTGCGAGGACCCCTATACGGTGATTGTCACAATCACCGTGCTACGCATAGGGGATCGCCACACCGCTGAAGCACGATCAGATTGTGTTTCATCGGTGTGGCGATCCTGGAGGAGATGCTTTTTATCATGTGGTCCGTGACGGGGGGTCGGCCCGCCCCGCCCCCCCTGCTCATGACTGTACCGAGCCTACGCTTGAGTCGGGCGTGTCCCCCTGCAGGAGGAGTATTCAAACATAGGTTAAAACATACGGTAACAAAAAACTATGTTAGGGTATTTGGGGAGTATTTGTTGATTATGTGTTTTACTTGTCGTCCAAACTCCGCCTGTAGGAGGACACGCCCGACCTAAGCCGACGCTGGGGGGGGATAACGGGTCTTAAACCAAGAGCCCTGGAACATGCAGCGTTCAGGTCAATTTGCTAACAACCGTGCAAGTGCATCTGACATCTGACTCAGGACCTTCGGGAGAAACTGTCCCCTGGTGGTGGCGGCCATGCGAACATCGATTTTGTTTGTGGCAGCCTTGCGCAAGGATTTTCGTTGCGAAGGCCTTACAAAACAATGTCCCTTTGCAACGGTCTTACAACATGACATCTTTGGCGGCCTGGCACAATGATTTTCTGGGGGGCGGTCTTACACAAGGATTTTCTGTTGCGGCCCGAAGAAAGGATTTCATTTTGTGGGTGATGCAGGAGGAAACCAAGGAACGACAACAAACAAATGCAACATCCAATGAATTTATGACGAATGCAATGTTTTCCATGATTTTGGTGCCGGAGGCTGCAGAAATATGAAAACACAACGTCTTCAATCATCAGAACTCGGAAAAAGCTTGTTCTGTGGACGCTGGGAAAGGGGGTGGCGGGTTCGAACCCGAGGGGAGGACCCCCTGCGATGCAGGGTGGGGGGGGTCGAACGGAGGAGGAGGAGGAGGAGGAGGAGGAGGAGGGAGGATGGGGAATGAGGAGGAGGAGGAGGAAGGAGAAGGAAGATGGAAGAATGGGGAAGGGGGAGTAGGAGGAGGAGGAGGAGGAGGAGGAGGGGGAGTAGGGGGAGGATGAGGAGGAGGAGGAGGAGGAGGAGGAGAAGGAGGAGGAGGAAGAGGAGGAGGAGGAGGACCGCTTCTGATTCGTCCGCTTTTGTTTCGTCCTCTTTTGTTTCGTCTGCTTTTATTTTTTTTGTCCGCCCTTGCTTTGAGTGATTCGTGTGGAAGCTGGCGGGATGAAAACCGGATGAACTTGAGCTGGGCGAATGAAAACCAGATGAATTTAAACCTGGCGAATTAAAACCGGATGAATGTTATACCGGACGAATTGAAACCATATTTTTTCAAACGCCGAATTAAAACGGGATGACTTTGCACTGGACGAATTCACACCATATGAATTTTAAACGGACGAACTAGAACCAGACAATTTCTAACCTGGCGAATTGAAACCGGATGAATTTGAACCGGGCGCATTAATATAGGATGTCGTTGTTGTTTTGATTGTTCCCCCACTCTATGAGGCCGCCCTTGTTCGGAGACAATTCTCGAGCCTCCTCCTCCCGATTTTCCTCTTCTCAGCCTGGCAGGCGCTGGCGCGACTGGCTCAGCTAGCCCGTAGGAGTGAGCCGTCGCCAGAGTGACCTGGTGCGGGTCCGCTGGCGTCCCCCGATCGCCGAAGGCGATGGGAAGGCAGCTTGCACCCCGACGCGCGCCCTCAACGCCGCGCACCGAAGGTTATTCTTGCGGCCAGGCACGCCTAGGACAAAAACAACTCGCTCCAGAGCGCTCCGGACGGCCCGCGGCCCGACACATCCTCCAACCCCGCCACCTCTCGGAGCTTCCCGATTTGTCTCAGTCCAGTTTGATCGTTGTCATGGCCTCATCTTGGCTGGCGCGACTGGCGCCGCATCCCCCCTGGTGCAAGGGGTGCCGGAAGGGCCAGCGCACCTCCCTTCGCCGCCCTCGGCGCGTCCCAGGGCCCCGCGCGTAAGTGGCTCTGGCGATGCGCGCCTCGCCTCCGACGGCTGGAGCTGGTCAGTGCGGCGCCCCTCACGTGCGTGAGACCAGGATCTCGAGCCTGGCAAACCAAGCAGTGGCAGGGAGTGTAGGGCCTGGACTACGTAGAAAACAGCACATGCGAGTGACAACGATCCGATGCTTCTGCGCAGCGCCATGAGAGTGTGTGTGTGTATGTGTGTTGTGTGTATTGTGTGTGCTGTGTGTAGTGTGCGTGTGTGTGTGTGTTGCGTGTGGGTGTTGTGTGTGTTGTGTGTTGTGTGTGTGTGTGTTGTGTGGTGTGTGTTGTTGTATGTTTGTTGTGTGTGTTGTGTGCGTGTGTTGTGTGTGTTGTGTGTGTGTTGTGTATGTTGTGTGTTGCGTGTGTGGTTGTTGTTGTTGTTGTTGTTGTTGTTGTTGTTGTTGTTGTTGTTGTTGTTGTTGTTGTTGTTGTGGTTGTGGTTGTGGTTGTGGTTGTGGTTGTGGTTGTGGTTGTGGTTGTGGTTGTTGTCGTTGTCGTTGTCGTTGTCGTTGTCGTTGTCGTTGTCGTTGTCGTTGTCGTTGTTGTTGCTGTTGCTGTTGCTGTTGCTGTTGCTGTTGCTGTTGCTGTTGCTGTTGTTGTTGTTGTTGTTGTTGTTGTTGTTGTTGTTGTTGTTGTTGAATTCTCATGTCTGAAGAATAATTATTGTTGATCTCCCCCACCGGTGCATACTGTTTTTTCTCAATCAAAGTGTGCCCCTCGCCGCTCGCACCCTGTTTTTTGATAGGGAAAGTCTTCCTGCTCAAACTGGGCCCTTGGCCCCCGGGTTACAACAACAACGGCTCCCGCCTGAGACTTCCTTACAATTTAGCCAGGACCCCCGCTCCCGCCCGAGACTTCCTCGCATTTTATTCAGGAATCGCGCTCTCGCTTGGGATTTCCTGGCAATTCATTCAGGAATCGCTCTCCTGGCGCTCTGGAGTCGCGCTCTCGCTGGAGACTTATTTGCAACTTACTGAAGAATGGCCTTGCGTTTGAATTTCCTGCAATTTGCCCAAGCGCCGCGCTTCCGACACCCAGGCACCCAGGAGTCGCGCCCGTTGTGGCCCCATGTGCGTGCCCTTCGTGGCTCCGCTGTCGCCATTTGTGTCCCCCTCATTGTCCTACGCGGCCCAGTTGCTACCCTCAGTGGCCCCATAGTTGCCTTCTGTGGCCCCGCATTATCTGCACTTCGTGGCCCCCGCTCGTTCGTGCTCTTCGTGGCCCCATACGCATTCCCTTCGTGTCCCCGCTGTCGCCCTTCGTGGCCTACTTCGTGCCCTTCGTGGCCCTGCTGTCGTTCTCTCTCGCTCTCGCTTTCGCTCGTCGTCGCCGTCGTCGTCGCCGTCGTCTTCGACGTCGTCGTCGTCGTCGTCGTGGTCGGTCCCCTGTCCGTCCCTCTTGGGGTCGGGTCGACGGTCCGCGGCCGCCCCGCCGATCAGCGCTGCCGCTGGCCAGGCCGACGGTCCGCGGCCGCCCCGCCGCTTGCCAGGGCCCGGCGTGCAGGAAAGAAAGGTATACCCCCCAAAAGGGGTTCGATCGAAGACGAAGAGGGCGGGTATCGAGGGTTTGGGAAATACGCGTTATTGGACACTCGAGCATATAAGGGCGAACAGTCTTAAAACTATTGTTGTTGGTGTTGTTGGTGTTGTTGGTGTTGTTGTTGTTGTTGCTGTTGCTGTTGCTGTTGTTGTTGTTGCTGCTGTTGTTGTTGTTGGTGGTGGTGTTATTGTTGTTGTTGTTGTTGTTGTTGTTGTTGTTGTTGTTGTTGTTGTTGTTGTTGTTGTTGTTGTTGTTGTTGTTGTTGTTGTTGTTGTGTGTGTGTTGTGTGCTGGTTGTGTTGTGGGTGTGTAGTGTGTGTTGGGTGTTGGGTGTTGTGTGTTGTGTGTTGTGTGTTGTGTGTTGTGTGTTTACCCTCTGGGCCATAGCGCGCGTCATGCCCCCCTTCTCCCCCACTCCTCACCCGCCACCCATACCGGAACGCTCCCACCCCTCCAGTGCGTCCCCAGCACTGCCGCAGCGCGTCCGGTACCACAGTCTGGTGGTGCCGCTCCACACGGCGGGGGAGCGGCGCCACGTTTATGCCCCCCTCCCCCTCCCTCCCTTTCCATGACGCCCGCTCTCGCCGCGAATGAACATGCTTCCCATGTAGGCGGAAGCGCCGCTGGAGGGCGAAATCGACCGCTTGGCACACAAAAGGCATCAGCACCCGTGCAGGCTCGATTGCCCTGTCGATCGCGGGCTTGCTCTGGCTACGGCCTCCACGCCATGCCCCGATGGGCGCGGGCGGGCTCCTTAGTGGAGCGCGCACGGGTCTGGCTCCTCCGCCTCCATCTGCCCCTTGCCAGTTTCTTCCCCCTTCCTCGTTCCCCTCTCCCACTCTCCATCCCTCCTTCTTTAATTTCGACCGACATTCGCTGGATGGCCATTGCGTTCGGAATCTGGTATACGCAGACGTCGAATGGGGGAAACATGCCTGAATTCGACGCGTGTGGCTATCAGCAAACACCCTTCCGGATCACCTTGGCAGGCTAAGCGGGGAGAAGCGGTGCGAAGAGAGTGCGGAAAAATCGAGAGGTCTCCAGCCCTCCTCCGTCTGCCCGCCTTCCACATGCTACGAAGGTCAACAGGGGCGTTGCCAGCATCATGAATGTGAAGAGGGAGCTGACCGCCAGGATTGAAGGAGTGGAGCCTGGCAGGCAGTACCTCTTCAACGTCATCGCCAGGAGTCTCAAGGCGAGGGGGAGGGGGGGCATCAGTGGAGGAGGCCAAGGGGGTTCTCCAGGGAATACGGTCAGCCTAGCTACGAATAACGTTGTTTTTGGGAAAGGAGTTTTTGATTTACTATGCATGGATATGACACCTCGACAAAAGAAAGAGCGCGTTCTGTGGTCGCTTGCTTGGAGGGGGGGGGTGGAACCGGACCCCCCCCCCTGTATGGAGGGGGGGGGGGGGGTCGAACCCCCCCCCCCCCTTTCCCTACCTCTCCTCTCTCCCTCTCCTCGGGCCCGCGCCGGCGGCGGCGGCGGCTGGCGGCGGCGGCGGGGGCGCTGGTGTTTGTGGTAGTGGCGGTGGTGGTGGTGGTGAGGTGGTTTGTGGTGGTTGTGGTGGTTGTGGTGGGTTGTGCTGCTGGTAGTAGTTGTGGTGGTTGTGGCGATGCTGGTGGTGGTGTGTAGATTGTGGTGATGGTGGTGGTTGTGGTGGTGGGTTGTTGTATTGATGGTGGTGGTGGTGGTAGTGAGCTGTTGTGGTGGTGGTGGTGGCTGTGGTGGTGGTGGTGGTTGTGCGGTGGTTTGGTGGTGGTGGTGGTGGTGGGTTGAGGTGGTGATGGTGGTGGTCATGGTGGTGGTGGTGGTGACGTGGTGGTTTGGTGGAGGTGGTCGTGGTGGTGGGCTGTGGTGTTGGTGGTTGTGGTGCTGCTTCTGGTAGTGGGGCTGGTGCTGGTGCTGGTGGGTGGTGGGTGGTGGGTGGTGGTGATGGTGGTGATGGTGGTGGTGGTTGTGGTAGTGTTGTGGTCGTTCGTGGTGGTGGTGTTGGTGGTGGGTTGTGGTGATGGTGGTGGTTGTGGCGGTGGTGGTTATGGTGGTGGTAATGGTGTGGTGGTTTGTGGTGGTGGTGGTTGTTGTGGGTTGTGGTGGGTTGTGGTGGTGCTGGTGGTGGTGGCGTTTTTGGTGTTGGTGGTGGTGGTGAGGTGATTTGTGGTGATGGTGGTGGTTGTGGTGATGGTGGCTTGTGGTGGTTGTGGTGGTGGTGGCGGTGGTGGTGGTGGTATTGTGGTCTGTGGTGGCGGTGGTGGTGGTGGTGGTGGTGTGGCCTTCGGCTCTTCCCCACGTGTTTTGGCAAAGGGTTAAAGTTCTAATGGGTGCCTTTTGAGGTCTCGTCAGAAGGGTCTCGGCGGCATCTGAGGAGCATGCGAGGGCTCGATATGGCGATTTGCGTGTTCCCTTTGCGGCCTCTGGGCCCTCTCTGGTCATCGTCGCTGCGTCCCCGCCGCCAGCGCCGGCGCCGACGCCGGCGCTGGGGGGGGTTTGAACCCCTCCGCCTCCTGGGCCCTCTCTGGTCATCGTCGCTGCGTTGGCGCTGCGGCGGCCGGCAGCGCCAGCGCCTGCGCCCGGGGCGGGGGTTTGGACCCCCCCCCTTTAGGAGGGGGTGGGGGATGTTCGCGAGGGGGGGGGGGGTGAGGGGGCAGGGGAGTCCCTTTTGTTCTGATCGACGGCGCCGAGTGTTGGGGGGCGGGGGCCCCCCCCCGGCTCGAAACGCGCCGCCGAATGTTCCCAATGCAAGCGCCCGTGAAACGCGCTCTCTCCGACAAGAGTACACGCAGCCTTTGCGACGACATTCATCAATTGAGGGTCTAATTATCCCACGCTCTGCGCGTAAAAGTAGGAAGGGATGGGGTGTGGAAGAAACAGCGTGGGTGGGAGAGCGGTGCAGGTGCGTGTGTGTGTGCTGGGGCTGGGAGTGGGTTAGACGAAATACAATCACCGTAAGCATACCTTGTTGACACTTCGCGTATCCCCATCAACTTGTTTCAGCCTGTCCCCTCCACTCGCCGGTCCGCCGCTGAGGCGCTGCTCCGTTTAGCCGCTTTAGGTGAGGCTGCGCCCCGCTGCTTTAGGTGAATTTGTCGCTGCGTGCCCCGCTTTGACTGAACTCGCCGCTGGCACGCTCGCCCGCGGCCGCTGATTAAAAAGTATCCCCACCAACATGCAGTGATTCTGACGTGGTCGGGGTCGACCGCGCAATGGCGGAGGCAAGTGGAAGTCAGGCAAAGGGTTTCGCCTACTACACAGACTCCCCGCTTGATCAGGACTTTTCCTGGGAAGTGCTTGCCAAGCAGTTGAACTGCACACTACGCGCCCTGTTGAACGCGCTTGTTCTCGGCCCGGTCCCGTACATGGTGGACGGCCTCCACCCGCGCGAGCACGGAACCGCCATCCAACCAGCGGACGCGGACCCAAGCAGGTACGACCGTAAAATGTGGAGTCACAAAGGCTTCCTCTACGACGTGCCCTGGGGATCGACGCGGGCAACCTGGTCTCCAGCGCGCCATGGGCGGCTATGATGTGGACCTGCGGACTGGGACCCAAGAGGGACGACAACGACTCCGCCGTCCCAGCGGGTCAGCTTCCCAGCCGCCCGCGACTTGGCCGATGGCGCAACAGGCCACGCCTGTGGAAATGCATGCCACCATCCATGCCAAAACAGGTACCACGCGCCTGGAAGCGTTCAACAGTGCGCTGTAGCAGGCATCGACTACACCCCAGGATGAGCGGACTGGAAGCCATCCTTCAAGGCATGTCGGCTCCAGGCCACAACTGGACCTATGCACCAAGAACGGTACCAACCCGATTTCCCTCGTGCAGGCGCGCCACGCTCATCGTGATGATGCTCACCGTGCGGGAACCCAGAACTTGCATGCTTCCATACTCCGATCAGGAGGGGACTGGCGACGTGATTGAGGCCGTCCTGGGCATCTGCAAACCTGGCAGCGCCACAGGCTCCACCTCGGCGTCCAAAGAAGTCAACTTCCGTGAGCTCGTCGGAAAGACTTGGGGTTTGACCAAGGACGACATCTTACACCTGCATGGCCGTTTCGAGGGCGCCCTGCGGCACATTGCCTGTCTGGCGCGAGCAAGGCATCATCATTCGCCAAGGGTGCTGGCTACCCACAGACCTGGTCCAAGACTCTGAGCGGTAACTTCCACCTGCGCTCCGCGCTGATGGCGCTGGAGGCGCTGGTCGTCCCAGCTAAGCTCATGGGGCTCGCCTCCGCCGAGCGCGCGGTCTGCTCACCTCGCGCCGACCTAGCGGGCGACGGCGCGCGCGCGGGGGATGCAGGGGGCGACGACCTCCGGTGCATCGGCGGGTAGCAACACCAGCCTTCTTGCTCCCTCGCCATTCGATGCTTCACCTGGCGCCCAGCTCGTTCCCCAAACACCGTGCGACTGATGACGCGCTGCTCCTCGAAGAGCAAGATGACGCGCGTGCATTCTGCGACTACTGCAAGAAGGGGCCATGCGCAATCAGCGACGGTACATGGGAGGGCGACAGGAGTCGCTCCTCTGTCGTTGGCTCTGCCTGCGGTGCTCGGCGCGTCACCTCGAGAGCAGAGGCGCCGAGGTCCCCTCCTGGATTGCAGCGCCGAGTTGGTCAGCAACGCCCCCCCTGAAGTCCCCGCGCATGCCGATTGGACAGGCCCGGGCGCCCAATCCAACCAGTGGCCCAGCTGCTCCTGGAGGCCTCGGGCAAGAGCGACCCGGCACAAATAAGCAGCGCCATTCCGGAGTGCCGACCCATCGACGATCGGTGCCAACGCCAAGACCGCCGGGCTGCACTCCGCCATCGGCGACAATTGCGTCGGCAAGCCTGTGAAGTTGGCGCGGGGGCCTGGCCGCCCAGCTCCTGGCCCCTTCGTCTGGAGGCCGCGCTCTGGCCAGGGATGCGATGACAGATGCGGCCTTCCTGAGCGGGGCCGCTGGGTGGCATTCCGATCATCCAGGCAGCGGAACGCGTCCTGGCACCTCTGCGACTGCCTGGTTCACATCTTGGACATCTCGCCCAGCGTCCTCAAGGACGTCCTGGACAGAGATTCAATCTGCACGTGCCCCCCCATCCCGAAGAAGAGGCCGGCTAGGCCCAAACCCGAGGCTGACGACGGTCCGCGGGGGGGCCCGCGCAGCATCGAAGCAGGGCGAGGGCGGGGGTCGACTTGGGGGCGCGGCTCAGACAGGCGCCAGCGCGCCCGAAGGCAGCGACATCACCCGCTTCACGCATATCCTCGACATCCCGCCCTGTTTCGCCCCCCCCCCCCCCTGTCCGGATGGATCTGGAGCGCAGACAGGTCGAGGCCCTCGTGCAAGCGGCGAGCGACGACTGCGCAGATGTGACGACGACGTCTCCCTTGTACTTGACCATGCACATCCGTCGCCTCGATCCGACCGCTGACGACGCCTGGGTCGGCCCCAAACCAGGAGGGCAGAGCGAGGGCGCTTGGGGGCACGACCTCGCCCGCGCCTACCTCCGCGCGCTCTTTGGCGACGCCGCCGCCAACGACGGAGCCCCGCCCAGCTCCGCCTGGAGCGGCGGGCGCTGGGCCGCAGCCCGCAGCCTGCCTGGCGCGTCGCCTCGCCACGGGGCAGTTGCTGAGACGCTCCTGGGGGCAATGCGCCAGGCGGGGCGCGCCTCGCAACGGCGCCGACCCTGCGCGCCATCGCATCGACGCAGTCGTTGACTGGCTCGCAAGTCTCAACCCGTCGGTGCTCTCCGACGACGCGGCGACGCGGGTTGAGTCGGTCGCCGCGGGGGCGGGCCCTGCGCCGGCGGCGAGCGGCTCGGACGGACCTCCAGGATAATTCGTCTCCGCGTGGCCAAGCCAAGCAGGGCGACGGAGCGGCGGCGGACGCGGCGCCTGGGGATCAAGCGGGGCACCCGCAACCACAGCAGGCGCCAGGAAAAGGAACCGCGACGGCTCGGTCGCTAAGGCCCGAGGTCGGACCGGCAGCAGCAATGGGCGAAGACACGAAGCCGACGAACCGGGGGACTTCGGTCGACCTTGGACAGGGATCGCCAAAGAGTCCCGAACTGCCAACAGACAGTGCCCCCCCCGCGCCCGCAGACTTCGCCGAGGAGGGATCCAGCGGGAAGGCTCTTGCTCGCACGGTCACAACGACGCTTCCGACAAAGCAAGCAGCAGCCGCGACTCTGCTGACAGTCGGAAACCGTTGGATGCCCCAGGTTCCAGGAGACCACGATCGCGGGCAGTGGGGTCGCGACGCAGGCCGGCCTGGGCCCCGGCAGTGGGCCGCGGCAAGCGGCGCGACCGTCCGCCGCAGAGCTCTTGCAAGCAGGCCCAAGAAAGCGGGCCACGCGCGCATAGCCCCGCTGTCATCGGGCGGGCTGACCACGGCCACAGCTGGAACGCGCGTGACGACGCGCGGGCACGCGGGTCCAGCTGGTCAAACCAGGCGCAGACCAGTCACGCCAGCGGGATGCGGCATCACCGCGCACGGCGCGGCAGAGCCGCCAACCCACTCGCGACGAGCGACCGTCGCGCCCCAGACGGTAGCCACGTGCACAGGACGCCCACGCACCTGGTGGACGCGCGAGGCAGGCGCGAGGACGACCGCCATTTCATCCAGAGGACGCAGTCTGAGCTCGGCGCCACTTTTAACGAGCTCCGGCACCGTTGGGCGGAGCGCCACGACCCACGACACTTCGCTTGGATTCGCCCCTAAGAACCAGCTGGAGCAGAGCTGGCGCACCTGCGAACGCTTCCTGGGCGCGTGGAACCTTTGCAGGCACGGCCCGGCGCCTGCGAGCTCAGTCAGCACCTGGGGCCCATGGCAAATTTCGTGCAGGTGCGACGAGAGCACATGACAAGGGATCGAGGCGATGTCAGACGGCAAGGGCCACGACCGCGCTGAGACCCCCGACGCGAGCAACGGCAACCAGGGCAAGCGCAGATCCGATTGGGGTGCGCACCCGCCAGAAAAGAGGCACCGCCCGCATGCCCCGCCTACAGACCACCCTTGCGACACAACCCAGCACGCGAAATGACGGGCTTGCAGCTGGTGCTGGCCTTTCCTTTTCTCAACTCCCACGCCGCGCGCATCTCCAGCGGTCCACTGTTCCATTTCCTCTTCTGGCCTTCTGTCCCGGGGTCATCCGCGTCCGTCTGTTACACTGTGCGTGCCCTTGGCTGCGGCCAGGTGCCTCCTCTTTTTTCCCCCCCTTGCATTTGCAGCGATCAGCTGCCGCGCCTTCTGGTATCTGCCTCGGGCTGCTGCTGCTGCTCTTCTTCTCTTGGCCCTGTGTCCTGGGGTTCTCCGCGTTCGCCTTTTCACTGGTTCATGCTTGTGCGATCAACTGCTCCTGGGGTTCGCCACCGTCCTTCTCTTTCTCCCTGCAGCGATCACCTGCCGCCCTTGCGGTCATCGCCCCTCGTTTCCCGCGCTTTCATCGCTCCGTCGCCGCCCCCCCATTCTCGGCTGCTGCCTGGGGCCACTGGCCGGCAGGCGCCTCTCGAGGTCCTGCCTCGCGCAGGCGCGCCGGCTGGCGCTTAACGCAGCTGGCCCCGGCGGCCGGGGCCGCCGGCGCCCGCCCGGCCGCCGCTCCGGGCACCTGCTGCGCGCGGGCGACGACCGCCGGCGGGCCTTTGCTTTCAGCGAGGCGCGCTGGGTCGGTCGCCTCCCTGGCTGGCGGAGTCTCATCAACTGCCGCAGCTGCTGCCAGGTCTGGGTCGTGGATGGCTGGCGCGCTGCGGACCGCGCGCGCGGCGGCGGCGCCCTGGCTCATCGTCGGCGCGATGGCCGCGAGGATCCATGGCGATGGCGTTCGGCCAGGGCGCGCTGCTGTCTTAGGCCCCCCCCCTCCGCTCGCTGGAGGCGCTGTTCGGCGAAGTCTCCCTGGTGAAGCTCGGTTTCGGCGGTGGTCTTGGCTCTGGACCTCGGCGCGGGCTTGCCCCTGCGGGCCGCTGGCTGCTGGGCGGCCGACCGTCCGCCGCGCCCCCCGCGCGGGTGGCCCGCTGCGGTGGCGCTGCGCCCGCCTTCCTGGCGTCGCGGGATCGCTGTCGCTTTGGAGCACTTCTTTCACGGCGTCGCCGTGCCAGCCGCTGCAGCTGCCTCCGGGTCTCGGTGCGCGGGGCGCCCTGATGGCTGGTCGCGCTGCTCGCGGCCTTTCTCCCCAGCTCTGCGCGTGCCCCAGCCTGGGGGGCCTCTCACTTGCTCGCTGGGGGGCGCGGAGCTGCCGCGGCCCGACCGACGACCGCCTCCTCCCGGCATAGCAGCTCTTCCCCGCGCCGTCGCTGCCCGACGACGCGGCCTACCACCTGGGGACCTGGAGGCCGTTTGTCTCCTCGGTGTTCGCTTGGCGCGTCTTCCGCGTTGATTGCGCCCGTCTCTCGGGGTCGTTCACGCTGCCCCCATGCGCGCCTGCTCGCGTCTCCACGTCTGTGAAGGCCATTTGGTTTCAAGGACCGCGAGTTCGTCAAGCTTACCTGGAGAGTATGTTTATGGGCGTCTGTCCTCCTGCCGCTTTGGCTGCCGCATGTCTGTTGGGTCTGTGTGACTGCTCGTTGGACGCCTTCCTCGGCAAGTTGCGTCCTGGGGTGGCGGCGCCGCTGGCTATCGTTTGGGTGGTCGCTCCTTCACCCTACACCGGCTTCCCATTCGTCAGTTTCGTGGGCGAGTTCTCGGCGCTGGCTTGTGATGCCTCTTGCGCCATTTTGGCTGCGTCGTGCCCGTTCTGCTCGGGGCTCGTTCGCGCTGCTCCTTCGGGTGCGCCTGCTCGTTTCTCCAGGTCTGTGAAGGCTACTGCGTTTCATGGACGTCGAGTTCGACGAGCGTACCTGGTGAGCATGTTCACGGACGTTGGCCGCCGCATGTCAGCAGGGTCTGTGTGGCTGCTCCCCGACACCTTCCTCGGCAAGTTGCGCCGTGGGCTGTCGTGCCGTTTTACCATGTGGGTGGTCGCTCGCCCTTTCTACACCGGCGTCCCATCGGCACCTTTGTGGACGAGCTCTTGGTGCCTCGTTGTGATGCCTCCCGCGCCATTTTGGCTGCGCCGTGCCCTGCTCCGCTCTGTGACGGGCGCTGTTCGCTTCGCTGTTGTTTCCTTCGTTTCGGCTCGGCCCCTCCTAGCTTGCACGGCGTTCGACTTATATTCGCGCGCCCGCGTACCAAAAAGTACCCCCGCCAGCCCACCCAGAAACAATGCCCGGGGGATCTGAGGTGATCAGGGAAGTGGGGGAGCATGCAGAAGAACAAAGGGCGGGGAAAGCCGTCCGATACCCCAAGAGGGAGAGGACAGTGGAGGAGAAGGAGGACGAGGAGAGCGATGAGGAGAAATGAAGAGACACTGGACGAGGAGGAGGAGGAGGAGGAGGAGGGCGTTTTGGCGAGCCCAGGGGCTTCTTTGAGAGTTTTGGATGCCTCGGAGATCCTCTTGAGGCATCTTGGGGGCATCTTGGGGGAGCCTTTTGGGGGCCTCTTGGGCGCCTCTTGGGGCCATGTTGGCAGACATCGATCAACAAAAAATTGGTCCCTCAATTCCCGCCCCCCCCAAATCGCCTCATGGAGCGCTCTTGGGCGCTTTGGAGGCCGTCTTGGGGCTCTCTTGGGTCTCTCCTGGGGCCCGTTTGGGCCATCTTGGAGCCATCTTGCCTCGGATGGCCACCGGGAGCGAAAAGGCGAGAAAGCGAAAAACATTGATTTCCCATAGGTTTTGGAAGGATTTGGGCCTCCTCGGGGCCTCCAGGGGGAGCTCTTTGGCCACTTGGAGCCGTCTTGGAGCGGTCTTGGGGCCTCTTTTGGGAGCCATCTGGAGGCATCTTGGGACATATTGAGCCATTTTGGAACTCATCCTGGGCTCTCCGAGGCGCTCTTAGAGCCATCTTGGACGCCCCAATCCATCGGGGGACCCCCCGTCCAGGTCCTGGGGAGGGGGCAGGGGGAGGGGTAAACCCCGCCCCGAAAGGGAAGAGGGGCACAAGACACGCTAGACCACCTACGCCCTGAAGGGCTTGTGGGACTGTCGGAGGTCCGCGAGGAGTTAAACACATCTGAGGTCCGCGAGAATTTCTTTGATAGGCAGTGGGCGGGGGAGAGGGGTCCATCGCCGATGCAGCAAATCCGTGCGGAGTTCTGAAAGCTTATGTTTAGGAATATAGCTCTCGTTCTAGATGGGGACGGGGTGGGGAGAGGTGGGCGCAGAGGATGTGAAGGGCAAAAGATGACTGGCAGGAGAGGGTGGGAGAGGGGGAGGGGGTTAGGAGGCGGGATGACAGTGGAAGGATGAGGGGGATAAATGGGACGGGGGGAGGGGGTGATCGGCGGGAGAATACAGTGCAGGAAGGAGAGAGAGAGAGAGAGAAAGAAACAGAGAGAGAGAGAAGGAAGGGAGAAAGAAGAGAGAGGGAGAGAGAGCGCGCGCACAACAAACATAGAAGCATCGGGTAAACCACACTTTCGGAGGCCCCCTCGGATTTCTTGGATCGATGCTGGGCAAATCTTTGTCCAATTGATATTGCAGTACACGCCAGATTGGTTCTTCACCGTTCGTTTTTCGAGGGGGAGCGACGGAAGTTGTTTCGCTATCTGGACACCCCCAGGCGCGTCTGGACCCTGGAGCACAACAAAAAAGGGAATGCAAAAACCCGGCCCAGGGGATGGGGTCGGGAGATCCAGGGGACTTCCCCTTTCTATGCCCTCTCTCCGCCTCTCCACCCCTCCTTCTCCCCTCCCCCCTGGCGGATAAACTCTGTTTGGCGGCATGCTCTACCTCCTCCTCTTCCTCGTCCTCGTCGATATCCACATTCTCTCTCTCATCGTGCTCCTCCTCATCCTCCTTCCTCTTC